TCTTTCAATCCAGCTTTCCGCTATGGCCTGTGGAAGCAGCAGGAGACGGCCCAAGTCCTTGGGCCCCTGCAACCACGTGGGAGACCTGGAAGAAACTCCTGGCTCCTGGCTTTGGATCAGCGCAGCTCCGGCTGTTGAGGCCATCTGGGGAGTTAGCCAGCGGATAGAAGACCTCTCTCGGTCTCTACCTCTTTCTGTAACTCTGTCTTTCAAATAAATAAAATAAATCTTTAAAAAAATAAATAATTAAAAAGACATAACATTATAAACCTTTTGACCTGTAGTCCCAAATTGCCCTTGCAGAATGATTGTGCCCATTTAGGTAACCTCTAGGAAGATCTCAAAGGCTCTATTTCATCAACTCTGCTGTATTTCAAATGATTTCATGACTACAAACACTATGCCTGCATATAGTAGCATCACACACCACTTGGTTTTCTTTCTTATCTATTTTCATTTGAGGGGAGAGTTCTACATTTTACACTTGGTACATACAATGTATTTGTATGTATCATACACATAATGTATTTAATGTATTTGAGGTACTGGATTTTCTTACTGTTTTCACTAAATCACAGGAATGGATGTAGATTACTCCATTCCCAAGTACTAATGAAGTAAGATCAAACACCTTAAATTATTTGAACTGGGAAATTTTATCTTGTTAACCATACTTACCATGTTAAAAAAATAAAGGATTTACTCACTGTTCTTGGTTGTTTATTTATCAACAACGGAGATTCTCATTTTCTGAAGCGGAAATATATTTTCCAAATATTTTAAATCATAATGTCTTAGTTCTGTGCAAATGTCTTAGAGATGTATAGTGGTAACTTCAGAGTGTATAAAAATAACAGGATGGCAATGCCAGGGCCTAAGCAGACTAACTTTCCCCTCACTTTCAAAAGCTAGAAAGGTTTTTAAAAAGAAATAAGTTACTAGTGGGAAAAATCATCCTGATAGCATCAAAGGGACACTGAGTGCAAGCAGCAGAAGGGTCATGGCAAGTGTTTCCAAAAGCAAAACTTGCAGACCCAGGAGACTGGAAGATTAAAGAGTATCTATTTTAAACTCCTCTGCTTTAAACTGAAGCCTTTTCACACTGAAACAGCCGCCCATTACCAGGAGGGCAAATTATATGAAGCCCAAAATGGAACTTTGCCACTGAACCTTATAAAGAATTAAGGTTGTCTACCCAAAATAGCACAACAAAAACACACCACAAAACACAAGAATTTTGAAAAATAAAAGTAAGTGCTCTCACAGTGTGTGTGAGCCTAACAAGGTGCGCGTTGATCAGCACGCATGTTCTCTGAAAGCTGTGCGAGCCATCACTGGCTCTGACATTTTTCTAGAAATCAGTTTCTTATTATGTCATTTTACAAAAATAAGCCAAAATGTTTATCTAAATTCAATTTCCCATGTGTTTTCTCTAAAAGCAGCAATGTTTCTACTGTTTATTAAAGAGAAGTTCCTACATGGAAATATACAAGCAAATGTTCATGTTAATTTTCTGTTTCCGAGTGCTTAGTTTCTTCTGAAGTTGCACCATTGCTGTTAATTCATGCACTTATTAACAGCGGAAGAAGGCCTAATTCTATCGAGCACACTGTGAAGGAAAAAACCTTTCCTCTCAACATTTGTAGGATTCTTTTTGTTGTTTATCCTGTTACTTCTCTTCATTTCAAGGACTTGCTGCTTTTTTTTTTTGACAGGCAGAGTGGTGAGAGAGAGAGAGAGAGAGACAGAGAGACAGAGAGGAAGGTCTTCCTTTTCCTTTGGTTCACCCTCCAATGGCCACCGTGGCCGGCGCGCTGCAGCCGGCACACCATGCTGATCTGAAGCCAGGAGCCAGGTGCTTCCCCTGGTCTCCCATGCGGGTGCAGGGCCCAAGCACTTGGGCCATCCTCCACTGCACTCCTGGGCCATATCAGAGAGCTGGCCTGGAGGAGGGGCAACTGGGACGAATCTGGCACCCCAGCTGGAACTAGAACCCAGGGTGCCGGTGCCACAGGTGGAGGATTAGCCTATTGAGCTGTGGCGCCGGCCAGGACTTGCTACTTTCAAGAGAATTTTAAAATCTGATGATCACAGTAGAAGGTTCTGTTAATAATCCTATAACAATAGTAGGTTAATTCATTTCCTAAAGTTGTCATAATGCATGATTTTTAAGTGTATTTTTAATACTATGAAACAATGGCTTTAATGTCAGAAACTGTTGAGGGTGTTTTCTGAGTTAGAAATAACATGTATACATAATTTATGTTTTCCTTACATATACATACACACATGTTTAGCTTTCCAATAAAATTAGAAAATGAATCAGCCAGTATAGTAAACACCCTCAGCAACAGATATTTCTTTCTTGTGTAATTTTAAATTTTTAAAAAAATTTTAATATAAAGAGAACAGATTTCATGTATTTCATAGGTGGAGTTCTTTTTTTAAAAAAGATTTATTTATTTATTTATTTGAAAGTCAGAGTTACACATGGAGAGAAGAAGAGGCAGAGAGAGAGAGAGGTCTTCCAACCACTGGTTCACTCTCCAGTTGGCTGCAATGGCCGGAGCTGTGCTGATCCGAAGCCAGGAGGAGCCAGGAGTTTCCTCCAGGTCTCCCACACAGATGCAGGGGCCCAAGGACTTGGGCCATCCCCCACTGCCCTCCCAGGCCACAGCAGAGAGCTGGATAGGAAGCGGAGCAGCCGGGACTCAAACTGGCGCCCATATGGGATGCCAGCACTGCAGGCGGTGGCTTTACCCACTGTGCCACAGCACCAGTCCCTCTTAGGTACAGTTCTAAGACAAAAGTGTTTATTATCTAAATTCAATCCTTAGTTTTAGTATTAATACTATTTTCTTGTTCATCTTATCCTCTTTCATAACCTCTGAAAATAGATGAATTGTTTTGAAAAACATTAAAACAGCCAGAAGTGCCTTATATTTTTAACAGAGCATCCATGATTGGTATTGATGCAGGCAGATAGGTGGCTAGCAAGCAAAGAGGAACTGAGAGACTTCTAGCATTGCACAGCCCCACCCCTTTCCATGTGGCCCCAACAGGGCTGCAGTTCCAGCACACTGTTTCCCACCATGCACCTGGGCCTCGCTTCCCATCATGCACGAGATGCCATGACACATTCCCTATGATGACCATGTGTGTGCTGCAGCCCCATATGGAGATGCCATGACACTTTGAAGACTTCCCCAAAAAAGGGACAGAGAAGCACACTGATCTCAAGTTCCTCCCAACCTCCAGCCCATTTTCATATACATTTATGGCAACCCCTACCCCAACTTTGGTGGGGGTGGCAGCTCTTCCTCCCTCATTTAGAGAAGCGGCCCACATTCATATCTGAGTGTGCGCTATCCCTTTAAATAAATACTGCCCTCTGTACACCTTCATGCCTTTTTCTTGAATTCTTTAATAAGTGGAGGGAAGAGCTTATACAAATTATTGTCATTTAATTCTAATAAATCAATGATCTCTAAATTATGATAATCATATACAGCATTTAATATTTTCAAAAAAATCTCCCTGACTTCTCTTCAAAGCATTCACAGATTATCAATTTACACAGCTGAGACACACAAATCTATATTTTTGGCCAATATTTGATTCTCAGGACAGTTAGTTCCCAAACCTGTCAGCAAACCAAGGCTGTGACCTGATAAAATGCTATTAATTCTTTGTAGCCAGTTTTAAAAACATACTTCATGTGCTAAAAACAAGTTCAGGAACTCAAGGCAATCTTATGCTTACATTAGCGTAAATTAATTTTTTTTCAGTAGAAGTGTTGGTTCCCTGTGAGGGAAATAAAACATATAGTTGTTTATGCTCTGTTATGTCTGAAACATCTTCAATGCTTATTGTGATGGTTAATTTTATGGTGTCAATTTGACTGGATTATGAATACCTAAACCTGGAAACATTGTATCGGGTGTCTGTGAGGGCATGTCCCAGGGAGATTAGCAGTGAATCTGAATGCAGCCTGGGCTGCACCCCTGTGTGCTGGGGGTGTGGGGAGACTAATTGGGAAGGTGAGCTTGGCTCTCAGAGACTGGGGACAAGTTCCTCTCCTATCTCCGATGGCAGTTGCTGGCCTCTGGACTCCAGCACCATGCTAGGATCCATTTGCTGGCAACTCAGGCTTTTCCATCTCACACTGAGACCCTCATCCTCAACTTTTGTTTGGAGGTCCTCGGACTTGGACTGAGCCATTCTACTGGCATTCCAGGCTCTCCAGCCCCCAGATAATGTACTGGACTTCTCAGCTGCCACAATTGTGGGTCAAACTCCCTAGTAAATTCTTTTCTATTCTTTTTTTTTTTTTTTTTTTTTTTTGACAGGCAGAGTGGACAGTGAGAGAGAGACAGAGAGAGAAAGGTCTTCCTTTTGCCGTTGGTTCACCCTCCAATGGCCGCCGCTGCAGCCGGCGCACCGCGCTGATCCTGGCAGGAGCCAGGAGCCAGGTGCTTTTCCTGGTCTCCCATGGGGTGCAGGGCCCAAGCACCTGGGCCATCCTCCACTGCACTCCCTGGCCATAGCAGAGAGCTGGCCTGGAAGAGGGGCAACCGGGACAGAATCCGGCGCCCCGACCGGGACTAGAACCCGGTGTGCCGGCGCCGCAAGGTGGAGGATTAGCCTATTGAGCCACGGCGCCGGCCTATTCTTTTCTATTCTTATATTCATGTCCAATCAATTCTGTATTTCTAGAGAACCCAGATACACTTGGAATTTGCCTTATCTGTGTGGTGAGTTACATATTATCTTCTTGATACTTTGATAGTATTTGGGACGACCTCAGGATGATCTCTCAAAGTCTCAGAGTCTAACTGCTTAACTATGACTTGCATTTAATAACAGTTTATGAAATCAGCACATCTTCTCAAGGCTCTTCTGTGGGATGCAAGTGATCAAACGGGCAAAGCCATCATGACTGGGCTGTTGAAGCTTGGACAGGAGGGCATTCTACAATGAAGAACCACTAGGAAACTGCATGATGGGAAGGCTGTGTCCTTTATTAACATCACCATAAATGCAGAAGCATCACCAGAACACACATATAATGTATACATACATTCTTGGGAAATTATTACAAAGCAGTTCACCACATGGCTGATCCCTAAAACTTAAATAGGATAAAAATATCCATGCAATGTTTAGTTGAAAAGCATCCTTTGCATTTTCATTTAGACAGTTTAAGGGGTTTGCTAATAAAAGTTTTCCTGGATATGGGAGTAACGTGCTCTGCTTTATGTAAAATTCAGTAGCTTGCAATGTCTGTTAAACTTCAAGTGTATCTTGCCTTTTCGGTGGCAAGAGCCAGCCTTCGGATGTTGGATATGCAACCAGCTGCGGCTTCCTGGAGGTCCTGATCAGGGGACCCAACCATATCCAGTAGAAGCTGTCACACACAAAGGGGAGGTGGAGAAGGGAAATAAAAAATAATTTAAAGACACAGAGTTAGGCTGTCAAAATAATTCTGAATAATAAATGTGTGAAAAAGCAACAGAAAAGTTGAGAAATTCCATTTAGGCACATGCAAACACAAATGATGCCTAAATCTGATGCAGGACATACTTCAAATGATTCTTATATTTTCATTTTCTGGAGCTGGGCTAGACCCCTTTCTCCCTCCTTTCTTTGGACACAGAACTGCTATTAGTGCTGCTGCTTAAGTTTCTCTCACATCTTTCCTGGCTTTTCCACTTCCCAGGTCAAGCAAGCAGCATATCATGCCTAGATTATAACTCTTAGACTTAAACTCTCTTAATTCCAGTCCACCTGATCATGTCACTCCTTAAATTTATAAGTCCCATAATGGAGACTTTTGTTGACTCCCAATGCTAAATAGCTAATCTGTCCTGTTAGGATATTTGTAGACTGGCCTCAGTTGGTCTTTCCTATCACTCATCTTTCTCCTGTTTTGCTAAGTACCCAAAGGACACACATGTCCCACCCTCTGCTACAAAATGCTTTCCCTTCCCCTCTCTGACTATGTAGAATTCATCAGTCTTTCAAGATGGGCCCAGTCAACTTGTCTAAAACAGCCTCCATGGATCTCCACTGAACAAAACGTCATTTCGTCCTCATCAGAACTTGTAGAGTTCACTCAAATGCCTGTCACTATGCTCATTCTCCACCCTTTTGAACAGAAAGTCTGGGGAGTGTTTATGTCCTTTAGATTATAAATGCTTGAAGAAATTCAGGCTATGATATAGTGTCTAGTACATGGTAGAAGCCAAGTATATGTCAAATAAACAAATTAGAACTTTTTAAATGTAGCAATAGAAGAAGATTCCAAGATGGCAGAATAGGGAGGGAGCTTACGCTCTAGTCTAGGCGAAGATAGTTTAAAAAAAAAATAGTGGAGAGAGTGCAATCTCAGGGAAGTCAGGGAGAAAACTGCAGTGGGAACTCCATGGAAGTTAGAGGGACACTGTGGATTTATGTGCAGGGTGTGGACGCTTAGTATGGGCATGGACACAACACAGGACCCCAGCAGCCAAGACCTGAGCAGCAGCTTTGGAGACTGGGAGACCAGACTGCAGCAGCCCAAGCCACAGACGATAAAGCTGTGGGGAGAGCCTGGTGGGAGTCTGGCCTTGAGCCCTGTAGGGCACATTGTACCTGCCAACCTAGAGGGAAAAAGGGGCGTGTATCTCTCGCCCTGACCCCCCTGACAATGGCACCCTAAACCAGCTGAGGGAGGGCGGGTGCCATTTTGGACACATGTAACAGCTTCACTAGCTTGTGTCTGTATGCCCAGTAACCAGCCGAGAGGAGATGTCCGAGTCTGGCTGGGGGGACTGGTGGGGGCTGTGCATCCATGTAGGACTGTGAGGTGCCCCCAGCCTCCCAGCAGGTCACAGACTCTGGGGCACACAGGTGATATCCATGGGCTGCTGCTTCTGGGAGTATCTCTGCCTCTCTGCGGATGAGATGGACTGGCAGGGCAGAGTAGATCCTTGGCACCCCATGACTGTGGGAGCCTTGTGTGCTGGAACTGTGGAAACACTGTGGTTGCATCGGAGGGCACAGGGTGTGGCTGGGTCACTGGGCAGTCATTGTGGGAGGCTCCAAACACTCGGGGCTCCCTAATTGCCAGGAGTGGGTCATTGCTGTGGGATCCCTGCTCACCCTGAGGACTGCACGGATCCTCAGTGTGGTTCTTGTGGCAGCACGGATAAATACTGCACCCACTGGAGCTAGTGCCAGGCATTGGCTAACTTTGGAGGAGAGGAGTTGAGGGGGAGGCTGTGCCAACGGAGCTGATCAAACCTCCCCTCTGACAAAAAACAAAAGAGATCTACCAACCCAACATGGGTGTCACCTTGGATACTCCCCTTACCCTGGAGCACTGAACAGAGCTCCATGGCCACACCTAGCACACACTGCTGGGTACTCACTGATAGAGCAGACACTCCACTAAGCCATAGAGGCACAGTACAAAGAAAAACAGCCATCAGAGGGAAAAAAAAAAAACCACGAATAAGTATCTCCACAAATGTCTAAAAATAAACACAGAAATTCAGGAAATAACATTAAGGAAGGCAACATGAAGTCCCCAAAGGAACACAATAACACTTTAATTCTAGAATGTGAAGATTAAGAGATTGATGAAATGCCAGAAATGGAATTTAAAAAATTAATCACAATAATCAGAAGCAAATCCACAAATTAAAGAAATTCATACATGAAATTGAGATTTTTAAAGATAAAATGAAATATTAGACATGAAGAATTCAACACATCAGATTAAAAATGTGGTGGAAAGCTTTAACAATAGCCTCGATGAGGCAGAAGAAAGAATATCTGAGTTAGAAGGCAAACCTCTGGAAATTTTAGTTAGATAAAAAAATAAAAAAGAAGAAGGAATTAGAAAAATTAGAGGCCGGCACCGCAGCTCACTAGGCGAATCCTTGCCTTGCGGTGCCGGCACACCGGGTTCTAGTCCCGGTCGGGGCACCGGATTCTGTCCCGGTTGCCCCTCTTCCAGGTCAGCTCTCTGCTGTGGCCCTGGAGTGCAGTGGAGGATGGCCCAAGTGCTTGGGCCCTGAACCCCATGGGAGACCAGGAGAAGCACCTGGCTCCTGCCATCGGATCAGCGTGGTGCGCCGGCCGCAGCATGCCGGCCACAGCGGCCATTGGAGGGTGCACCAATGGGAAAGGAAGACCTTTCTCTCTGTCTCTCTCTCTCTGTCAACTCTGCCTGCTAAAAAAAAAAAAAAAAAATTTAAAAAAATACTTAACCATGAATTCAATAGGATTTGAAAATTGCGTCTACGGTAAGAAACTTTGTCACAGAGAAGCAGCCCAATAATATCTTTACATTTTGCTTTTTAAGTGAGTTTTTAAACTAATTTAATGTTAATTTAATTTTTGGCCAGTCTCTCACTATGGGACCAAAAGAAGATAGAGTGTATTTCCAGCAAGAATAGTGAAACTGACCCACTCAGTTCAGAGGAACCACATGTATTTGTATGGTACAAGATGAAGAAAAAAAGGAAAGAAAAATAACAGTAACAGTTTGCTGTCACTTACTAAACACCTGTAATGCTGTAATATTTTCAGTGGTTAATTAACAAGTACTGTTTTGTTTGATCCTACTTACACTCCTATTAGGTGGATGATACCTGTTTGACTACTGGAGTACTTGTAATATGATAATTTCTTTTTAAAATCCTTCTTGTATTAGTGAAAAGAATAGGTTTTTGTAAAATTTAAGTTTGTATGGGGCCCAGTGCTGTGGCACAGAGGGTTAACGCCCTGGCCTGAAGTGCTGGCATCCCATATGGGCGCCAGTTTGAGACCGGCTGCTCCACTTCCAATTCAACTCTCTGCTATGGCCTGGGAAAGCAGTGAAAGATGGACCCTGCACCCGCGTGGAAGACCTGGAAGAAGCTCTTGGCTCCTGGTTCAGATTGGTGCAGCTCCAGCTGTTGCAACAAATTGGAGAGTGAAGACCACTCTCTCTTTCTCTCTCTGCCTCTCCTCTCTCTGTGTAACTCTGACTTTCAAATAAATAAATAAATAAATAAATAAGTCTTTAAAAAAAATAGTTTGTGTACAGTGGATAAAGCCTCTGCCTCCAATGCTGGCATCTCATATGGGCACCGGTTCAAGACCTGGCTGCTCCACTTCTGATCCAACTCCCTGCTAATGTGCCTGGGAAAGCAGCAGAAGATGGCCTAAGTGTGTGGTCCCTGGCATCCATGTGGGAGGTCTAGGGGAAAGATCCTTCTTTGGCATGGCCCAGCTCTGGACACCATGGCCATTTGGGGAGTGAAGCAGCGGATGGAGGACTTCTCTCTCTCTCTTTCTCTCTCTTTTTCCCTCTCTCTTTCTGTAACTCTGCTTTTCAGAATAAATCTTAAAAGAAAAAAAAAACCCTAAAAACCTACTTTGTCTGTTGGCTTATTTTTTTGTTTTTGAGATGGCAGAGTTTAAATTTACATAATATTCAAAGGTTTGATGCTCCACTACATACAGAATTCAGTGGATGGACAGTAGGGGCCCATGGTTCAGCAGTAGGATAAACAAAGGCTATAAACAATAAGCAAATGAAAAATGTTCAATGTTTTTAGGGCACAAACTATAAAAAATTTAATGTAGTGTCCACTAGGTGGTGTTATCGTGATACAGTTCAAAGTGTTCTTGAAGTTATTTATTAGTCTAAAACTTTTCATAGTTTTGAGTTGTTTTGAACCACAAAGCATTATAGTCATCCATGTTTATTTATTATTATGCATTCAAAATGCTTCCAGAATTATTTGAAGCTAAGGTAAATATAAAAAACAATCAGTTTTGTGTCTTGAAACTATGTATTAGATGATTAACTTTGGGTGCCTATCAGCCACTGTGTTAAGTGCTTTGCCCATCTTATCTCTTTTAATTCTCCTAACAGTTGTGCTGGGTTAGCACTGTGGAAAATTGTATTCTACACAGAGGAGACTTAACATAGAAGCCCACAATGAAAGGAGAACAGGCTGAGCTGGGATTCCCAAGGCAGCACAGCCAGAATCTTGGGATGGGGGAGAAGGGAAAGTGTCTACTCTCAACTTTGTGACATTTTGTAAGAAACAGTTGTCATGAAGAGTGTGATTGTACTTCCTACCTTCATAGGTCAGAAAAACGGGCCCCACACTAATTTGGGCTGTATGAACAGGCAACTGGCATGTAGATACAGGATAATTCAGCCATTGTTTACATCTTTGGATTTTTTTTTAATTGCTTGGAAGAACTTAAGAGTCTTTATTTTAAACTATCCAAAGGGTTTACAGCTTTATGTTTTGCTAGACATAATTCTCTAAAATGGAGATGCTTATTGGGCTTCTGAATTGTATTGTAAATTCATGTCATTTAAAACTGTGCTTTTTGAATGAAGCTTTTTTTATAAGAATAAAAGATATTTTCCTTTTTAAAAAAATAAATTTTCTCTGTCATTTATTTGTGCTCTGAGTTCTACTGCATTTTTCCCTCTATTTTCTATTTGTTATTATTTTTTTCAGATCCTTGAGGTGCAGCAATAAGTTGTCTGAGATCTTTCCAGTTTCTTAAATGAAGGCATCAAGTGCTATAACTTTCCTCAGTACTACTTTTGCTGTCATCACATAGGTTTTGATTTGCTGTGTTTCCATTTTCATTCCTTTTAGTCTTAAAAAATTTCTTCTTTGATCCACTGGTTATTCAGGTGTAAGTTCCTTCACTTCCATGTATTTTTGTAATTTCCTGTTTTTTTATTATTATTGATTTTTAGTTTTATTGCATTGTTTTTAGAAAAGATAGTCTATTCTTTTAAATTTTTTGAAGCTTGTTTTGTGGACTTCCATATAACCTATCCTGGAATATGTTCCATGTTTGTAGAGACAAATGTGTATTATAGAGCCACTGGATGGGAAGTTCTGTAGATGTCTGCTAGGTCCAATTAATCTGGGGTGCAACTTAGCTGTTTCTTTGTTTACATTCCGTGTGGATGGTCTGCCATCTCTGAATATGGGCTGTTAAAGTCCCCTATTATTATTGTATTGGAGCCTATCTCTCTCTTTAGGGCTATTAATGTTTGCTTACAGGTGCTCCAATCTTAGATTCATAAGTACACTAGTATTATTTCCCTTGGTAGATTGAATCTTTGCCATTATAAAATGACCTTCCTGATATCTTATTGCTTTTGATATAAAATCCATTTTATCTAAGAGAAGTAAGCTATTCTTATCTTCTTTTGGGTTCCATTCACATAAAATATCTTGTTCCATCTTTTCATTTTCAGTCTGTGTATTTTAGAAGTGAGGTGAGTTTCTTGTAGGCAGCATATAGTTGCATCCTGTTCTTTTATCCACTTGGTCACTTTACGGTTTTTAACTGGAGAATTTAGTCCATTGACATTTAAGGTACTTACTGAGAGTTAAGGTCTTGCTCCTGCTCCTTGGATACGTGTATTGTAGTTCCTTACTTTCTTTATCCCTCTCTTACAGTCTTTGTTTGTGGTTAAGTGATTTTCTCTCATGGTACACTTTGAGTTCAGCTACCATCCTCTCTCCCTCTCCCATACCCAAACTTTTCAGAGTGGCCTCATTTGCTCACTTCTTTGTCAAGTTTATCAGTAATCATTTTTGCTATGAATCCAGTGGGCACTGTTGGTTCCTGTCTTTTTTTACTTTTCAATTTCATTTATCCCATTGTTTTTACCCTTGTGCAAACAATATTCTCTTCTCTTGACTTCTTTAAAATTACAACAGCTTGTTTTGGTTTTTCTCCCTTTAACATTCTGTTTGCTACTTTTGTGGAGTCCTATAACTCAGGGCATCATGGTATATTCAGCCTTTCCTTTTTCCTTTATAAGCCCACCCAACGGAAACACCACTCACTTTTATTATTTCATGAACCAAGGTTCTCAAATCTGTGTCTTTAATATTACATGCACACACACACACATACTTATCAAGCATGATATATATACATATAGCCATTGTATATACTTACATACACACAAACATATACACACTTATCAAGAAAGATATACATATATATATATATATATACATATACACATATAGCCATTGTATATACTTACACACACACACACACACACACACAGAATATAGGCCTGGCTGAAACATATTACCAGGAAGCTAGACTCTGAATCAGAAATTGAGCCATGATTTTAACCCAGCCACTTTAGACATGGGGTGTAAGCTTCTTCAGCTGTGCCAAAAGCCCACCCCATTGTTATAACAGCAGGAGAGGGACTAAGAGATAGAAACAAATAATATGAGAGAAGAAATCAGTGAGATAGCCACTAGAGAAACAATACTAAAAGGTACACAAAACTAAGAGTTGGACTTTTGAAAGGATGAATAAAATGGGCAAACTTTATGCCTAAGAAAAACAGAGAAAATTTAAATAAATAAAATCAGAAATGAAAGTGCAGTCATTTCAGACTGACCCCACAGAAATGCAAAGGATCAGCGCTGGTGTTGTGGCACAGCAGGCTGAGCCACGGCCTGTGATGCTGGCATCCCATAATAACACCAGCCTGAGTCTCAGTGGCTCCACTTCTGATCCAGCTCCCTGCTAATGAGCCTGGGAAAGCAGTGGGAGACGGACTAATGACTTAGGCCGCTGCACCTACGTGGGAGACCTCAATGGAGTTCCTGGGTCCTAGTTTAGGTTTGACTACGTTTCATTTAGCCTTTACACTGAAGACATAAACGGTTTATATACCATGTTTACAATATTAGAACATTCTGAATTTGCATAGCTACTGTTACCAGTAAATTTTTAACCTGATATTTTCTTATCCAGTAGCATGTCTTTCTTTCAAGTTACAGATCTTCCTTTAGCACTTAGTGTAAAAACAGGTCTGGTGGAAACAAATGATCTTAGTGTTTGCCTGGGAATGTTTTTATCTCTCCCTCAAACCTCAAGGATAAAGTCGCTGAGCACAGTTGGCAACTTGTATCCTTTAGTACTGTGAAGCCTTGTCGCTCTCTCCTCCAGCCTGGAAGCTTTCTCCTGTCAGATGAACGGGCCTCCTCCATGTGCTGTTTGCTTCCTTTCTCTTGCAGCCTTTTAACCTTGGAGACATTGATTATGCTAAGTGTTGGGATGGGCTTGTTTGGGTTGTATCTGACCAGAGACTTGACCTGCCTATTCCTAGATAATTGTTCCTTTTCCCAGATACAGGAAGTTTTGTCATTTACCTTTTAAACATGTTTTCTCCCTGCCATTAGCATTCTCAAGTCCCTCTTGAACCTTTATAACTTGATATTCGCTCTTTTCATATTGTCCCAAAGTTCCTGTAAGCTTTCTTTATACCACTTAATGCTTTTTTTCTCCTCCAAGTATGCATTTTCAAATAGTTTATATTCAAGTTCACTGATTTTTTTTCTTTTGTTTGGTCTATTCTGCTAATGATGCTTTCCATCTAGTTTTTAACTTCATTTAGTATACTTTTCAATTGCAAGATGCATATTTGACTTTAATTACTTCCATCTTTCAAATCTGTTAGAATATTAAATTTCTTCTTTTTTTTTTCTTGCATTTCATTGAATATCCTTAAAATAGCCATTTTAAAATCTTCTATGCATTTGAAAATTTCAGTTCTGGCACATTATTATGCTCATTAGGTGAGGTCGTGGTCTCCTGGAACTTCTTGATGACTGTTGGTCTATGACATCTTCTGTACACTAAAAGATTGGATACAGTAATCTGGCTTCCTTTGTGACTTTGCTTCTAGAAAATTCTAAGCAGTCTATTTATTTTCTCTGAGCCCAAGGTTATCCTTGCTGTATCACCAATAGATGGCATCCTAAGTTAAGGTTTGCCTCAGGTCCACTGTTGATAGATTTTTACAGTTAGTGCTACAATACTTCCCAAACTCAAATTTTCCCAAAATCTGCAGTTGACGTGTGTTTCAGAATGAACTGAGGAAGTGCTTTTAAAAAGAGGTAGCTCAGGTAATTCATCCCACAAACCTCTCCCTGGGTCTGTGGTACGCTCAGACACCTAGTTTTGTGTTCATCAATATCTTGACAGTAGATCACACCCAAATCTGACAGCCCAGTGAAACCCGTGTATTCTGGAAGTGCATCAAAGCCCAGCTTGCTATGCTCTTCCTGCTGCTGGGCTGGGCTCATCTATCAACCATTGGTGATATTGGCTGGGACATAAAACTGATCAACAGCGACCATGAAACTCCACTTGGCACTGCAGCAGGTCAAGACAGTTTGTCTGCAGGCATGGGCTTGGCAACAGGGACCACTAGCATCTGTTCCACGCTGGGATTATCAGCCTGGCACTGAGTCCCCAAACAGTCCTATGGTTCCTTGCTGCCTGCTCAAGGCCATGGTGGAGGGCGAATGATAGAGACAGTTCCTCAGCTACACTGGCAGGCACTGTGGGGGGTGGGGCACATCTGGGTCTCACAGTCAACAGGCCCTGGGAAATCTTGGAGGCTTAAAAAGATCATAACATTCTGTCATTTGCAGCAATATGGATGGAACTGGAGGTCATTATGAAAAAGATCAGACACAGAGAGACAAATACTGTGTGTTCTCACTCATATTTAGAAGCTAAGAGGTGCTCTCACAGAAGTAGGGAGCAGAATAGTGGTTACCAGAGTCTGGGAAAGGCGTGAGGGAGTGCATATCAAGAAGATGGCTAACTGGTGCAGGGGTGCAACTGGACAGCAGGATACCTATGGCTGATAACAAGTGAACATTTCAAAATATCTGCTACAGGATACTGAATGACCACAACACAAAGAAATGACACATTTCTGAAGTGACAGTTATGCTGATTACCATGATACGATCATCATGCATTGTACCCATGCACTGAAATATCACACTGTGCCCCCGAATACATACAATCGCCATGTGTCAATTAGAAAGATATTGGAAAAATAGAAAAAGACTGTCAAGGCTTAGTCTATCTAGTTCAGCCAGTTTCTTTGCTGTTTAGTTGGTGCCTGCAGATCTGCCTTTCACTTGTTATTTATACATAAGGTAAGCACTCTGTCAAGTAGATTTACAATTTTTCATGTGCTGTCCATTCTCTAATCAAATTCAAATAATGAGATGATTAATTATTTTAATAAGTGCACTTATTTTGACTTTAATAATTCTATCTGCATGCAGCCTTTCTGCAGGATAAACCATGATAACGCACGGCTGAAATGCAGTCATGATCCAAGAGAGAGGCAGTTTTGTGAGTTCAAATCCCCCCAGTAGTCTAACTTTAGTTTTAGAGGTTTCTTTTCCTTCTGCACGCACCACGCTTGGACTAACCCACCAAGCGACTCAGCTGTACCTTTACTGCGCCATTCTCATGCATCGTGATGCAGTTGTTGGCATCTTCTGAGAGCTGGTACAAGGCCTGCGCTGTTGCGCGATGCACACTGGTGTCGCTCGATTTCAGGTAGCGCACCAGTGGAGCCACTGCTTTGTGCTCACCGAAGGTCACTTTGTTCCTGCCCCACATACAGCAATGGGAAATAGCTTCTGCCAGATGACGCCTCAATTTCTCGTTATTCTGCACAGAGGAAAATGATGTGTGGAACGTGCGTTATGACGGTCCTGTGAGATCAGGTGTATGCTCTTTGCCAACGAGTCTAGAGAGGTCAGATGGCTACTTAGGTTGTGTCTTGAAGGAACACGTCATTTGGGGGTGCAACAGAGCAAGGTTCAGTCCTGAGCTTTCCTTCTACGCACTGAATGTAGTTAGTGTACTCAAAGGTGAGCAGTTGCATGACATCACCATGTGCTCAAGGACAACACAAAATTATGGATCAATGAGCTGCTAAGTGATAAAACATTTAGGTAATACTGTATATTCTTAAAGAGATATTTCTCTATCAGTAAATATACTTGGTGTCCAAGAGAAAGAATACAGTGAAGCAAATATATGGACATTTTTGGGGGTCTCCCTTTTTCACGCTCTACTTTTTTGCAGACTAGATCCTTTGTTTTTGCATGTAACTATCTTAAAGAGGTGTAATCTACCTGAATAGGATATGTTTTCTGTATGTTAACTGTACTGTTATTTTGATATGGGCAATGACTTAAGTGTCCTAACTCAGAGGCTCCTCAACTGAGCATGGGTCCGGTGTTTGAATTTCTGCTCTATGGCTCTTTTCGAAGCATTAGCCCAAGTGAACATCAAATGTCTCTGTGCTGTGAAGTCGCTGTCTTTCAAGGCTATTCTACCTGGCCCAGCTCTAGATACAATACAAAGTCTGCTACCTCATGAATGTCTTCCACACTGGCTTGCCAAGCTGGAGGACTCTTTGGAATAATAATGATGATGGTGGTAGTGAAGACGATAGTGAACACATACTAGCATTTAAAAATGTACCACTTTCCTTGCCAGTGACAAATAAAAAAGACCTTTCTTTTACAGAGTCTTGCCTATTAATATTTTGCATTTTAAAATACTTTTTTAACATATATTAGGCTCAGAGAAATTAAATGAGTTGAACAAAACCTCATACCTCATAAGGAATAGATATTAAAGTAAGCTTTAATCCGAATCTCTGAATTTTAAGTTCACTGTTCTTCCACTACATCATGCTATCTTACGACAGTAGGCATTTAAGATAAAAAGGTGCTACTTACTGTGTTTGTCAGCTTGGACAGTAAAGGGACAACTCCATGATCTGTAATAACAGCTAAATTTTCTTGATCTTTTGCTATATTGGTAATGACAGCACATATACTTGCCAAAACTTCTTTGTTATCTGATTTCAGTAAATTAACAACAAGTTCCAAACCACCAACAAAGGAACGAACCATTTCTCCAGCATCCTGGATTAAAATAAAGACAGTATTAGACACAAACTTATTTTTTAAGAAAGCAGACAATAATGATAAGGCTGTGAGATACACCTCTAGCATGAAAAGAAATTCAGCTTAATTTATTTCTATATTACATATAATTTCTATGTATGTGTGTACATATAAATAGAAATCTATTTATACACATGTAATGTATACATATAAAATTTGGTTTCAACAAATATTTATTACACAAAAGTCATTGTGTTGGCAACTGATGAAACAGAAGTTAGTAAAATGAAGGAGATTCTTTTATTTGTGGCAGTTTTGCTGTATAAAGTCGCTGCAAACACTAGACTAGTCAATATTCCTACAAGCCTCTGGTATTTTTATCAGTGAATCTATCCATAACCTTGTTTTGTGTGTGTTCCTGCTTGAAGACACCTTATTTCACATATATATTGTTAATTTGTGAGCACTGAACTCATTCATACCCAGCAGGTTCACCTAACATGCATTTTCCGCGTGGGTACAATACAGCCTTCTTGCACTTAGAAATCCTAGATAGCATTTCCACACCATTCCTAGGGATCATTTCAAGGAGTGAAACAGCCAATAAATAGCACAAAAGTACAAAAAACTGTGGTGTTAAATAGAAGACATCGGAGCCTTGTTTTTAGTAAGGGAACACTGCACTGCCTTGCTCAACCTGAGACGAGGTGCATGTTGACTAACTTAAATTTTCACCTCCCTTTGTATGTCCAAGAATGACTACAAAAACACTGTTAGTATTGACTTGGGAAATACAAATAAAGTTTGTAAATAAAGTTTAGCCAGTGAGAAAATTCCCAAACAGAATCCATGAACAGTGCACACGAACTGTTTATATTCTTTTGCTGTCATGCTATTTACAACTGTGGGACGATGAGCATTAAGAAAATGACAAATATAAGGAATAGCACCACGGGAGGAGGTGAAGATAGTAAAATACACACACAAGGGAATCTCAGCTTGTGTAAAGGTTTGAGGACTGCCTCCCTGAGACCTCTGTAGGCTCAGGCCTCTGGGAGGAGCAATCATCCAGTGTGAATGGGATTCCGGTTCTAAGAATCATGTAACACAGATCTGACAGTGAGAGCGAAGTTTAAAACAGAGTATAAAATAGGAACGAGAACAGGAGAAAATGAAACTTAAGAGGTGAGGCCTTGTAGGATCTTAAAGGGCTCCGTAGAACTTGAAGTTCATTACAATGCATCTGAAAGCCACTGAAGCGGCCTCAGTGTGTGGAATTCAATTTTGTTTCTTAGGAGACCTCTTAGGATTAGAGGGCACAGAGCTGAGTTTGGGGCCAAGAACGCTGTGGGAACTCAGAGGTGTTTTCACCAGCCCAGACGAGACATGGTGATCCATTGAAGAAGGTGACGGTCAGGCCTGATGCAATGTGATTCCACGGTGCCTCCCACGTTTCTGGCTTGACCCTGTGGTGCCAATGCTGGGAGAGCAGGGTTTGGCTTTGTATCCTTGGGGTGGAGAAAGGTGGTATTTGGTCTTAGAGGATCTAATTTGAGTAAAGTTCCCACAGATATTTAAGCGGACATCCAAGAGTTAGACAGATAGGTGAGTCTGGAGCTCAGGAAAGACAAGCCGGTTGGAAACGACGGTTTGAAAGTCATCAGCAAGAAGACTGCCACGGAAGCAGCAGATGGGAAGGGGGCAGCGAGGGAGGAGAGTGCTCTGTGGCAGCATCCAGGTGTGGGCAGAGGAAGAGACCTTGTCAAGGATCTGGAAAGCACAGGTTGCAACAGAAACCCCCACCTTCTCGTGTGTTGTACGGCGGCTGCATGTGCAAAGTCCACCCATTATTTGGTTCCACGACTTTATCTAGTAACAGAAATTCACATCCTTTGAATCCCAACTGCCTATCAGGCAGTACAGTATGCAGTTCACATAAATTATCCCAAAGCTCACAAGAGCCAAATGAAGTAGACATTCTTGATGGATATATATGCAAGAATTCTCAAGGAAATATTAACAAACAGAATCCCACACTACACCCACAAGGCCACACAACATGATCAAGAGGAATTTATCACATGACGCAAGTGTGGTTCAACATTTGCAAATCAATAAGTGTCACAGATCACATTAACAGAATGAAGAGCAAAAGCCACAGATCACATCACTGGCTGTAGAGAAAGTGCTTGATAAGATTCAACACCCCAGTCTGCTCCCCTCACTTAAGGTTCATCAAAGCTCTTGTTAACTAACGACAACACAACAAAAACGTACATAAAGAGAGTGCAGCTCTTGGTGGGAGAAGTGAACAAGATCTCTTTTCAAGAGTCCATCTATCCATCAATATCAGTAAGCTTTTTAAGAAGTCAAAGACACTATGTTGGTAGGAGAGGGAGGCACGTAGAAGGCTGGTGAAGTTCTAGAGAAATGGAACCAGAAGGAGCTATTCATGGTCTTGCTTACCCTTGGAGCCCAGGGCTAAGAGTAAGGAGGCTGGCTTGTGTTTGAGGTTGCAGCATAGAAAGCCAGCCAGATATTCCGGACAGAACGCCTTTACAGAAACAATGCATTAATAGATGTGCAGATTTGGAGTTGAAATTCATAAAAAAGATATGCAATCTAAAAATAATAGCACTAAGTAGAAAAATTACCTACACAACAATGGCATCTCACCAATGATAATATTACATTTTGTATTGAAATTTAAATAACAATTGAGAATTAATTAGTATCTACAACATTTTTTTCCAGGAATGCTTTTACCTGCCACCTGCCACTAGCCTACTTTTTCAATTAAATGTTAATTTAGAGCCCGACTGTGACTGTGATAATACTGTCTTTATTTGATGTCACTACTTTTAGAGGAATTTTCTTAATAATATAATCAAATTTGAAAGTCATATTATTAACATGCTTGTACATTTGACTAAAAATTCTAATCATGTAACTCATGATTAGAAAAATTCTAATCTTATAAGCCGTGCTATTTTATTAAAATCTTTTGTTTTGCTGGAAAATATTCTGAAGTACTTTTTTCAGAAAAGACCCATGGGGGGATAAACTTCCTAAGTCCCAGCATTGCTAAAGGAAGAATGTCCTTAGGGCACACTCACACTTGGACGCTTGTTTTGTAGGACATAGAATATTCCAGAACAGAAAAACCTTCCCTCCATAGAAAAGAAAAGCTTTGTCCCATTTCTGTTCATATGTATTGTGGGGCTGGCTCTGTGTCACAGGTTAGGACGCCTGCAGTGCTGGCATCCCATAGAGGCACTGAATAGAGTCCCGCCTACTCTACTTCCAATCCAGCTCCCTAGTAGTGGTGCCTGGGAAAACGGCAGAGGATGGCCCCACTGCTGGGACCCTGCTCCAACATGGCAGACCTGGAAGAAGCTCCTGGCTTCTGGCTTCAGCTTGGCCCAGCCCCAGCTATTGCAGCTACTTGGGGAGTAAACTATGGATGAAAGATCTCTCTGTCTCTCCTCTTCCTTTGTAATTCTACCTTCCAAGTAAAAAAAAGAAATCTTTAAAAAATTTATTGTGGATGATATTAAGTCTCATGCTGTTGCAAATCATGTTCTTTTGTAACAGTTTCATTAATTTCTGAAAACATCAAGTTTAAATCTGTGTATAGGTGTGGTTTTGTTTATTTTTCTGGTTGGCACTAAATGAATCTTTTTCAATCTGAAGACAACTCTCTATAGCAATTCAGCTTATAGCAATTGTCCCTGTTAAACAATTATTAATCTTTTTAAAAAAAGAAAAAATTACTCTTTCTTCCCTTCAATTACTCTTTTCCTTTCTTTGTCTTTTCCTGTCCTGTTTTCTTCTTATGTTCTTTGTTATTCACTGGTCTTTCCAAGCTCAGGATACACCTTAGCCATACCAACCTTTGTGGCCATTCCTTCTAATAAATGTCTTGTTCTACCAAATAAAAAACCTGTCTTGATCGGTGAATGCTCCTCTTCTGTAGCAGCCTACTTGGAGACAGTATTCACCTTCGCGTCTCTCTGAGGATATTAATTTTTTGAAATATAATGTATTCTGTTTCTTGCACAATATCTATTCCCTCTGAAATTAGTTATACCTACTAGTTTTGGTGTGTTGATTTACTACCTTTAGTATTCATTAAATATTTGATAATCCCTGGATGTTCATATTTGTAAATGAAGGACTGGACTGACTGGCTGAAGCAACTGACAAGGAATATCCCTTCAAGGATGGATCATTTTAAAAAAAATATGTATTATTTATTTTGAAAGTCAGAGAGAGAGAGAGAAACATTTTCCATTTGTTGGTTCACTCCCAGATGGCCGCAATGGCTAGGGCTGGGCCAGACGGAAGCCAGGATCAAGGAGCTTCTTACAGGTTACCTACAGGGGTGGCAAGGGCCCGAATACTTGGGCTATTTTCCACTGCTTGTTGCAGGCCATTAGCAGGGAGCTGGATCAGAAGTGGATCAGCTGGGACATCAACCAGCACTCATAGAGGATGCCAGCATCCCCAGCAGAGGCTTAATCCACTGCACCACAATGCTGAATCCTACTTTAGTCTTATCTTAATCAGCTCCTGCAAATTGTTTTTATTTTATTCAATATGCTTTTGAGTTTTATTGATATTGATAAACACATTCCAGAAATACATTCATTTTTCACAAATACATTATATGTATATGAATATGCCATCTTAGTGTCCATTTTCCTGTAGACAGCATTTGAGATCCTTAAAATTTTTTGACTGTGATAAAAATGATCCAAAAAATTAATTTATGATATGTATCCTCTATTCCTAGGTATTTCACAATTTAGTCTTTTCAAAATATTGCATTTTGAATGATAATGAGAATCATGTTAAATTTATTATAGAAATAAAATCCTTTAGATAAAGACATTCAATAGAGAAATAGCTTTAGTGCCAAGAAGCTTCAAGGGAGATCTCATCATCTATAATGAGGATAGAAGGGTAGATGCGGGGCATAGCAGTTAGCTTGGGTTTGAGTGCTGTCTCCACTTCTAATTCCAGCTTCCTACTAAGTGCACCCTGGAAGTCAGCAAGTAGTGGCTATTATGGGCATATGGAGAGTGAATCAGTGGATGGAAGATCTCTGTCTCTGTATCTCTGCATTTCAAATAAAGTGAAAATAAGTAAGAATTTTTACACCTTTTTAAAAAGATTCATTTATTTGAAAAGTTAGAAAGATGGACAGAGAGAGACAGACAGACCTTTCAATTACTCACCAATTCCCCAAATGGCTGCGAAAACCAGGGCTGGGTGAGGTCCAAGCCAGGAGCCAGGGGCTTCATCTGGGTCTCCCACAATGGTGCAGGGGCCCAAGGATTTATGCCATCTTCTGCTGCTTTCCTGGGTGCATCAGCAGGGAGTTGGGTTGGAAGTGGAGCAGCCAGGACATGAACTGGGATGCTGGCATCAAAGGTGGCAGCTTAAACCACTATGCCACAATGTGAGCCCCCACCACCTTTTGTTAAATGATTTCTTTATTTGAAAGGCAGAGTCAGAGAGATGGAGAAATGGGGCAGGGGAGAGAGAAACATTTTTAAAAACAAAAAAAAAATGTTGAGTAAATATATAAGCTGAAAAGAGATCTTTAAAGAAAAGAATAGAATTTATAAATGAAGAGTTAAAAGAGATGGCAGAGCCTTCTGGTCCAGCAACTTATTGACAGATGAAAGTGAGGCTGCAGTTCAATTATGTGAACTTTTCAAGGTCAACAGAACTTGGTGCTCCTTCAGTATCAGCTGTAGCACAGCAGTCACACTTCCCACACACTTTCACTCTCTGGAAGCAGCAGCACATAAATACAAATTTCTTATCTCCCAAGAGATATGAACAGGAGGCTTTTCTTCACCCTGATTTACCTGGGGTTCTTGTCTCAACTTTATCACCAGGAAGAACTTGGCAACAATGCCAAGTCTGACTCTAGTTCCAACTGGCCTTGTAAAGTGCACCAGGAAAGGCATTGCTCAAAAATGATTCAGCATAAACACTGATCAGCACTCTTTTCCACCAGATAAGTCTGACCAGGAATAGTAAAAGGCAACTGGTGATCTGCGGTGACATTATTCAATTTCGTATCAGAGATTCCAGAATGACTGATTTTCAGTCTGTTCCTACCTTAGCATTTTTGATGCAAGGACAAAGGGCCCATGCTGCACTGGCTTTCACATCTGAATGAGGATTTTTCAGCAGGGACCACAACAAACGAACTCCATCTAAACGATCAATTATTCTGTAATGAAACCAAAAGTAGTGGTATAAACTGCAATTAGTAAGTGGATATGAAAATTAAGTAGCCCACCTATTTACACAACTTATCTTTTCTCTACATAGTGTCATTATCTTTTCTTCTTTGACATTTGTTTGTTGTTGTTTTTTTTGATTTGTTTTTGCAAAACATCAATGACAGAAGGATTATAAAATGATATTGAATTGTCAGCCCTTTGGTTCCAGTTTTAAATACATGACACAGGAAGCAAGTTGCCTAATAATTTATGGCTCATATAAACTTAAAAAAAAGCCACATATATATATATTAGACTTATTTATTTAGAAGGAACAGTTAGAAGGCAGAGGCAGAGGCAGAGGCAAAGAGAGAAGGTCTTCCATCCACTGGTTCCCTCCCTAAATGGCCACAATGCCTGGAGCCGGGCTGATCTGAAGCAGAAGTCAGGAGCCAGGAGCTTCTTCCAGGTCTCCCATGTGGGTGCAGGGGCCCAAGGACTTGGGCCATCTTCTATTGCTTTCCCAGGCTATAGCAGAGAGCTGGATCAGAAGTGGAGCAGCCGGGACTTGAACTGGTGCCTATATGGAATGCCAGCACTGCAGGTGGTGGCTTTATCCACTATGCCACAGTGCTGGCCCTGCCATATATTTTTTATTTAGCTGTGCACAGACTGCTAACTAAATGTAAGAATACTGTTTTTTTTTTTTTCCCACAGAATAATACCTACTTTCCAAAAATAAATATTGGTGCCTCATCATTGTGACATTACTTTTTAAATTTCGTTTATGTTTGACTTAGGAAATGACTTAAGTATTCCTTGTTTTTAGAAGAATGACTTTTAAAAAAATTGTTTATGTGAAAGTCAGTGTTAGAGAGAGAGGGAGAGGTAGGGATCCTCCCTCTGCTGGCTCACTCCTTGGATGGCTGCAACGGCTGGGACTGGGCCAGGCCAAAGCCAGGAACTTTATCTGGGTCTCCTACATGGGTTTCAGGGGCCCAAACACTTGAGCCATCCTCTGTTGCTTTTCCCAGGCCATTAGCAGGGAGTTGGATTGGAAGTGGAGCAGCTGGGACTTGAACTGGCGCCCACATGGAATGCCAGTATTGTAGGCGGACACTTTACCTACTAGGTCACAATGCCAGCTCCTATTACTAGGTCTTAAAATCATTCCACCAAGTGTGTTCTTGCTTGGCATGAAAAATATGTGCTTCCTGCCCAGCAAGACAACACTGCAAGTGGTACTATAATTATTTAAACATACTGTAATCCAAATGCCTTTGTGACTAGCTGAATGAATCATCATCAAAATTATCTCTACACGATTTGTCTTCTGGTTTCATATCATTTGACCCTGGCAGTGAGGTCCAATAAAAACTTGTATTTGAGAAGAAGATAAAAAAGAACTCAATATCCTTTACAAATATGACTGTTCAGAGATATATTCAACTCAAATGAGATAGAAAAAGAGAACATCAAGACTCCTTCAATTTCTAGTCCCAAATTGAATTAAACACATATAGTATTTAGTGCCAGGTAGAATAAATACAACTAGCTTTATATGTCTTTCAAATCATTCCTTGAAATTTGACATCAAACATCTACATTTCTTAATTATTTTAGATGTTTGTTAGAAAAGAAATATTATTCCAAAGTTTCCAAATAGGGTATCAATTTTGCACAAACTTATAAAATTGGTGATCCAAATAGTTAACTGTAAGATATAAACTATCTTTTTGAAATGTTTTCTAATAAGAAAAAATGCACTGAATATTTTAAGCCAGAGCTTAACTAAATGGCTATTCAAACTTAAAGCTTTCTGTCAACATTATACTAAGAGAAACCAATTCTCAACTTAAAAAAAACTCTAAAGAAACACGTGAGATGCTACACAGTGGAGGACTTACTTTTTAAATATGTAAATTTGAATGCCTGTCTTATATAAGCTCCTTAAAATATGATCGATTCTGATCCTTGTGTTTCTATATTTTTACACAAAGTTGCACAATGAACAACAGTGAATTATAATCTGTTTTACCTTCTTTCAGATTGAGAATCAAATTTAGCATTAATTTTTTTCAAGATTTATTTATTTTTTTGACAGGTAGAGTTACAGACAGTGAGAGGGAGAGACAGAGAGAGAGAGGTCTCCCCAAATGGCCGCAGGGGCTGGAGTGCCAGGAGCCAGGAGCTTCTTCCGGGTCTCCCACGTGGGTGCAGGGGACAAAGCACTTGGGCCATCTGCTAGTGCTTTCCTAGGCCATAGCAGAGAGATGGATGGGAAGAGGAGCAGCTGGGGCTAGAACGGGTGACCATGTGGGATGCCAGCGCTGCAGGTGGAGGATTAACCCACTGTGCCACTGTGCCACTGCGCCAGCCCCTAGCATTAATATTTAATTGTACACTGCTGGATGCAACTTATTATTAGAGTAGAAGCTATTGGGATGGCACATATTTCCAGTTTAAAAGAAAAAAGAGTAACTCAATCCTGGACACCCAGGCAAAATTGCATGATTAACTATTGAATGTCACCATTAATTACAAAACTAGATCTACCGTCCCCTACCTTCACCCCAAACCCTAAGCAATTGGTCAGCTTCCTGGTTGCAACACTTGAGGACTATGTAGAAGACTGTATAGTACAGAGAAATAATCTGATATGAGAGAAACATTTTTGAAAGACATTCGCAAACACAGTCAAAGGTAGCAGATTTCAGAGTTTAACTTTATCCTCTCCATGCCCCTCATTCTCCGTATGGAATAATTACTCCGTTTTACTTTTTACTTCTAGTATCTGCCTTGCTTCCCTGTTCTCTAGGCCAGCACCCTAATCTCAATATTTACTACTTTCTATCAAGATTGCTACAGTGGTATGCATTTGGTTTTGTGTCTTCAACTTCTCCTACTTTCAATCCATCCTATAAATCTCTGAGAAATTAATCTTCCTGAGAAATTTTCAGAGCTTCTGCAGTACTCCTTGAAAGTAAGGTCCCAGAGACACTCATTCTGTCCATAACCACACTGCTTATGTGCACTGATGCTTGTTGGACAACTCACAACCAATCATTCCCAAGGAAAAACAAATGTTTTTGCACAGCTTCCCACTGTCTACATGACACAGAAACTTCCGTTCCTGAGCTCAATATTTTAATTTTTCAGGGAGCTTGTGTATTCCTGCCAATTTCCTATATTCAAGCAATTGCACATAAAATACCTTGGCATATTAATATGACATATTAATATTAATACTAAATATTAAGTATAGGCATACAGAAATAACAGATATAGTCAATTCTCACTATTAGGGGGTGGTTATACTCTTTTAAGCCACACAGACATTAAGTGAGCAAACACTGAACTACTGCTCTAGGGAAACCATGAATATTCATGGAACATGGTATGTTATTAAAAAATATGGGCTAGTGTTGTGGCTCAGGGGGTCAACCTGCTGCCTGCCATGCTGGAATCCCATGTGGGTGATGGTTCAGATCCTGGTTCTTCAATTTCTGATTCAGCTCCACGCTAACGAGCCTGGAAAAGCAGAAGATGGCCCAAATGCTTGAACCCCTAAAATCCACGTGGGGAGGCCCGGGATCCTGGCTTCAGCCAGGCCCAGCCCTGGAGAGTGAACCAAAGGATGGAAGATCTCTCTCTCTCTCTTTCTCTCTAATTCTACCTTTCAAATAAATAAAAAAAATCTTTTAGAAATCATTATATCCAATGAATAAAATTATATTTAAAAACTTCTGAATGCATTTCAAAGTTTTTGCAGCAAAACTTTATCTTTTAAAGTTCATTTCTTTACTTGAGTTATTTGAGAGAGTTCCCATCTGCTTGCTCACTTCTCAAATGCCTGCAATGGCTGGGCCTGGACCAGGCCAGAGCTAGGAGCTAGGAACTCAATCCAAATCTTCTCCATATGGATGGCAGGAAACCAACTTTTTGAACTGTCACTGTTGCCTTGCAGTGTGCACCTCATCAGGAAACTGGAAGTGGGACCAGAACTGGGACTGGAACCCAGGTACTCTGGTATGAAAGATGTGAGTGTCTTAACTGGTAGCTTCATCACTAGGTAAAATGCTGCCCCACGCTAATTTTAATTCCATTTTCCATGAATATTTTGAAGTGCCTCCATACATATAAAGTTTTACTATGAACTTCTGGTTGGCACATTTTCATCAGTTGATCTTGTTTTATGTGTCTCTGTTTAAGCTCATCTTATTTAATACATCTGTTGATTCTTTAACACTGAACTTTTGTCTAGCAGCACTGTAGTTCTTTCCTGAATGAAGGCCATCTCACACACCTTTTCTCTGTAAGGCACTTCAGGTCTCCTTGTCCTAGGGACACAGGACACCATCTCAGGACTATGCCTAGGGCCCTTTCACACAGCAGTATCATCAATCAAAGCACCGCACTCAAAGACTGCCGCAGGCTTGTTTATAGTAAGAGAGCTGAAACAGTAAGACTGATGTCACCTTTTCACCTCTGCTGGGAATGTGTGCATAGTGTCACTCGAATTTTTCACCACTCTGCACATGTCTCTGAATGACAATCAAAGTGATGTGAGTGAATATTCATTTGGGATTATGAATCAAGTTCAGGGAGTACACAGATTCATCAGTACAGAGTCTGCAAATACTGAGAATGGGCAGTATTTAGGAAGCTATATTTAGGAAACAGTGAAGAATATGAAGAGACCATGTCATATAGGATAATAAATGTTGCAACAGATGTGTACATAGGGCTCCATGCGGACACGGAGAGAAACCATGAGTTTACTCACGGACCACAGACACTCTTCTTTCAACAACAAGCCTCTGTTCACACCATTCTGCATGTTTTGCAAGAGCAAACCATTTCTTAAGGTCTGTTAACAAAACCTATTACATAATTTGCCTGGCTTTCCTTTCCTTTACGCTTCTTTTTTATTTTTTTCAACAGGCAGAGTTAGACAGTGAGAGAGAGAGAGACAGAGAGAAAGGTCTTCCTTCTGTTGGTTCACTCCCCAAATGGCTGCTATGGCTGGTGCACTGTGCTGATCCGAAGCCAGGAGCCAGGTGCTTCCTCTTGGTCTCCCATGGGGGTGCAGGGCCCAAGCACTTGGGCCATCCTCCACTGCCTTCCCGGGCCACAGCAGAGAGCTGGACTGGAAGAGGAGCAACTGGGACGAATCTGGCACCCCAACCGGGACTAGAACCCGGGATGCTGGTACCGTCTTCTACTGTTTTCCCATGCCACATCAGAGAGCTGGATCGGAAGTGGACCAGCGGGGACTCAAAACGGTGCCCATACTGGTACCACAGGTGGTGTGGCTTTACCTGCTATGCCACAGTGCCAGCCCCGAGACAATTTCTTAAAATAAATCAATTTGTGTTTCTTCTCTTTTTTCCTATACAAAGAGATAGATGATTGATAAATGGAGATACAGAAAGAAATAGATATATAGAGATATCTTGTGTACATATATGTATATACACACAAGGGTACATCAAAAAATTTATGAAGAATGATATAAAAATGCTTATTTTGGTGTACAATGACTGAAATCTATGTACAGCTTTTTCATGACACACATTTACATGAGCTTTTTAAAGAGTATACACACACAGACACACATTAAATACCAACATACACACCCTGCTGGTTCTCTGTCTCCCTGGAGAACCTAACACAATTTTAATGTACATGAATTTCCATTTTTCTGGACTTAACATATACGGTGATGATTTATTTGATGGATAAATAATGTGAGAAACATGTCATTAAGTGATTTCTTCATTGTGTGAGTACCAATGTACTCACACAAACCTAAATGGTATAGCCTATTATTTGTCTTGGCTATAGATTTTAGCCTACAGTTCCCAGGGTACAAACCTATTTTGCATGTTACTGTAGGTGACTAACACAATGGTAAATATTTATATATCTAAATATGCCTAAGCAAGGAATGAAACCATAAAATGACAGCATAAAAGAAGATTATAGTACACCTGTTTAGGACATTTCACCATGAATGGAGGTTACAAGACTGGACATTGCTCTGAATGAGTGAGTGAGTGGTCAGTGGACAAAAGGCCTAGGACATCACTGCACACTGCTGTAGACTTTATATGCAAAGTATACTTAGAGTATGCTAAATTAGTTTAAAAATGTTTCTTTCCTCAATAATAAATTAATCTTAGCTCACTCCTCACTGTCCTCTATTCCACATCTTGCCCCACTGGACAGTCTTCAGGGGCGATAAAACACACAGAGCTGTCACTTCCCGTGGCAATGCCCTTCTCCAGAGTACTTCTCAGAGGACCTGTCTGACACTATTTTTAGTAAGTAGGAGGAGTCCACTCTAAGACAATGAAAAATGCAGTATAGTACATATACAGACTAGTAATATGGTCATTTATTATCAAGTATTAGATACTAAACGTAACTGCATATGCTACAGTTTTACACAACTTGGCAGTGCATAAGACTGTTAATACCAGTGTCATTGTGTTAGGGTGTTTCAATGGCTCCCTACCCCATATCACTAGACAATCAAGATTATTCAGCGTCACTGTAGTTTTATAGCATTACTGTAGTATATGCGGTCTGGTGTTGACCACAATGTTGTAATGTGGAACATGATTCTCTCTCTATATATGCATATAAAACCTCTATATAATCTGGCTATTATTCTTAAATTGTGCCCCAGTTGGGATTTTCCTTTCTAATTAGACAATAGTTCGCTTAAGGGACAAGATTAGAACTTAAAACTCTGTGTCTCCTCCCCTTATCCGTTTGTAGGCATTGTGAAGGTGCTCTACATATTTGATGAAGTAGTATGCAACATGGAGGAGGATACTCTGAGGATGCTACCTAGACTAGCTATGACCCTAGTTGCTCTGGCTATACCCAGAGACAGACGATTCTTTGGGATGGTATTAATGTTTCCACGTGAGAAACTGATTACTGGATATTGTAAATACTCCCACTAGGCCCAGATTGGCACCCACTTCACCTAAGTAACGTTTTGATTAAGGAAGTCATGATTTGGTCATCTGGTATTTTATTTTCAAGATTTGTGCATTGAAATTCCAATGATGACACTATTCTATGACCACCCAGCACCCTCATGTAAAATCATTCCACCCCTAAGGAAACTTACACCATGCTTTCCGGTTCTACCGCACAGGCACCAACTGCTTTTGTGACGTTCACCAGAAGAGCTTGGTTTATTCCAACGAGGAGGTTCACCAGGTGTTGAATGCCACCACACTTCCGGACAATGACTCGGTTTTCATAATCTTGGCAGCATTCTCCTATGGCCCCAACCACATTAATAAGTACTTCTTCAGGCTGATCTGTTAAAAGTCCCACCAAAGTTTCAATGGCTTGGTATTCCCGAAACCTAGGTCATCACACACAGGCACATACACACACAGAGAGACAGAGAGAGGAGAGAGAATTATTTTCAGTACAATGTTAATTGATAATATTACTACTACTAATAATGGGTAAAATTTACTAGACATCAGCAAGCTCATTCAGTCCTTACAACTTAGTGAAGCAGGTGCTACTTAATCCCCATTATCAGGTGAGTAATCTGAAGCTTGTGAATAGCAAGGCTGGTATCTACACCCGGCTACTGGCTCGGGGCCTGTGCCCTAATCTTCAGGCTACACAGCTTCTGAGACAACTGTGGCTTCCTCCAAAGTTGAGCTTCCACCGTTCCAATCTGCTAAGTGTTTCCCCTTATCTTACAGAGATATTTTACATGAATACAGCACCCTAAATATTTGATGAAAAGGAATTAATACATTTGTGTTTTTAAACACATTAAACATGGCATAACAGTATCTATTTGTGTTTGGTAAGTCTCTCAAAGTAAGGAGTAGCTTGTGTTATCTAAAGAAAAAAAATCTGGCCAGCGCCGCAGCTCACTAGGCTAATCCTCCGCCTAGCAGCGCCGGCACACCAGGTTCTAGTCCCGGTCAGGGCATCGGATTCTGTCCCAGTTGCCCCTCTTCCAGGCCAGCTCTCTGCTGTGGCCAGGGAGTGCAGTGGAGGATGGCCCAAGTCCTTGGGCCCTGCACCCCATGGGAGACCAGGATAAGTACCTGGCTCCTGCCATTGGATCAGCGCGGTGCGCCGGCTGCAGCGCACCGGCCGCAGCGCACCGGCCGCAGCGGCCATTGGAGGGTGAACCAATGGCAAAAGGAAGACCTTTCTCTCTGTCTCTCTCTCTCACTGTCCACTCTGCCTGTCCAAAAAAAAAAAAAAAAAAATCTGTTAGCCTCAGATGTCTTCAGTATTAACCACTAATACCTTTTAGCATCTCTCCTGTTATGCAATTTTACTGGTTTATTTGCACTATGTATATTACAAGAGGAAGCACATAATATGAAAGCAAATATTTGAGGGGGCAGAGGGCATTTGGGACGGGGTTAAGAAGGTATCTCTTGGGATGTCTACATCATGAGTGTCTGGGTTCAAGACTTGTTCCTGATTCCAGCTTCCTGCTAACATGCACCCTAAGAGGCAGCAGGTGATGGCTCAAGTACTTGGTTCCCAGCCACCCATGTGAAGGATTCAGATTGAATTCCCACGCCCAGCTGTTGTGGGCATTCGGGAAGTGAACCAGCAGACATCTCTTTTTGTTTATCCATTTGTCTTTCTTTGTCTATCTGCCTTTCAGACAAAATGAAAAATATTTTAAAAAAGGGGGGTATACTGTTGTGTGCAGGGGTGGGATGCCTCTCACACTGGCATCACACTTGGGCCCCTGCCACCTCTGATCGCGTAGGAGGCTCCTGGCTTCAGCCTGGCCCAGCCCCAGTCACTGCAGCCATCTGGGGAGTGAACCAGAGGACGGAAGATCTCTCTTTCTTTCTGTCTCTCCCTCTCTCTCTGTAACTCTGCCTCTGAAATGAATAAACAAACATTTATTAAAAAAAAAAGAGGAAGAAAAAAAGGAAAAAGGGATGGTACCACCATGATGTCTTTTGAAGAAAAGAAAGTAACTATTAAAGAATTACCAGTTTCTACATAAAACATTTTTAACTTTTCCAATAAATTTCAGCAATATTTTCAAGTGCTGCAGCAGAATTTTTACGGTTACTTTTAATTGAGACAAAAGTTTTAATTAGCTGAGGTTACTTTCAGTCTAGCTATTCAATAAATGTCCTTTATTTCGTAAAATTATTTTGTATGATGACTGAAAAAAAAATGAAATGTCCTAAATTTTATTATTAGATGGTCAGGTTGGGAGGAATGGAAGGCAGGAGAGATGGGAAAGGTTAATCACCAAAAGCTGCAAGCCAGAACGATGTCAGGTGATTTTACACTCCTAAAGACCTAGGTTGGAGGGGCCGGTGCTGTAGAGCAGCAGGTTAAAGCCCCACCTGCAGTGCCCACATCCCATATGGGCGCCGGTTTTAGTCCCGGCTGCTCCACTTCCTATCCAGCTCTCTGCTATGACCTGGGAAAGCAATAAAAGATGGCCTAAGTTGTTGGGCCCCTGCACCCGCGTGGGTGACCCGGAAGAAGCTCCTGGCTTCAGATCGGCTCAGCTCCGGCCATTGTGGCCTTCTGGGGAGTGAACCAGCAGATGAAAGACCTCTCTCTCTGTCTCTACCTCTCTCTGTAACTCTGTCTTTCAAATAAATAAAATAAATCTTTAAAAAACAAAGACCTAGGTTAGAAGCTACTGCATCCTGCTTGTTGTTTCCACCAGTCCATAAGCAACAGCTGCTTCCCATTATGGCCTAGCTTCCCATGCCAAAGCATTACCCACTTCAGGTTAATGTAGGTCCAATAAAATAACCCAAGCGTTTCCGTCCTGAATTTTCATTTTTAAGAACTCTGACTTCTTAGGTCCAGAGGACATTTTTCCAGCTGCTCCCTTGCCTTGCTCTGGAGGCTGTGAGAACTTGTCCCAGGATCAGCTCTTTCTTTCTGGCTAGCATCTGCAATTGCCCAATAAATCCTCTGATTTCAGTCTCTTGGTCTCAGGAGTTTGGGTTTACCTTGTGTTAAGATGCATGAATATCTTATTAAAGGAAATCATCAGTGTAAACTCTAAAACTCTAGAGAAAGAGCCAAATTGAAAGATTAAAGCAAATACAGTTTTCCACATATGTTGGAGTAAAATGCGGTGACAATGGTTTGGAAATGACTACCCTTTAGGAGGAACTGCTTGGCTGGCATTCAGCTGATTCATCTTGCTTGTTTCTTAGGAAAGGGAACAGAAGAGAGCCACTTCCGTCTCAGGAGAGCCCATGGAGTATTCATGCCCGCACCTCGACAGGCCTCTGTAGGAAACACCAGGACGTGTCTGATTTAACTGGCTGCCGTATGTTACACAGCGTCCTGGCCCTTGGACCTACTGAGGCACAGCAATTTACTGCCTTTCTGGCTGGCGGGAGGGGACGGGAGTCTTTCCAGGCTAAGAATGACTTCGTTCCGCCAGCCTCATCCAAAGCGGCCATCTGTCACATTAGACTGAACCCTTTACTAAAACAGCCTGGGACGCCAAGCCTGGTGGCGGCCGTGCCCTCCTCACAGGCCCCCGAGCGCCTTCTCTTACTTGCTCACGTTCTCCCTGCTGATGGAGCACTTCCATATGGCCCCCGTGACGGCGGCCAGCCGTTCCTTGTTGTCGGTGTTGTTGAGCAGGCTCGCCAGGGGCTTCAGGCCTCCGTGCAGCCTGACCAGGTCCCGCGTTTCCTCGTCTTCGGCGCACTACACAGAAAGTCCAGTCAGAGGCTGGCAGCGGTCCAGGCGCATCAGCGTTCCGCGACTGCCGGAGAGGCTGCCATTCCAGCATTTTCTGAGGGCACCTTCAGTGCAACACACTTCTCCACACTGGCAGCTACGGAACATCATTTCTCTCCCCTCACGAGGCTTTGGGAATGGACAACAGTTTCCGTGCCCTGGGGGTTCTCTCAAGCCAGTTCTGAGTGGCCTGGGCTGCCCTGAGGCAGCGGAGGTGAGAAAGAAACCCAGGGGCGGACAAAGAACGTCTGCAGTGACCCAACTAAGAGAGACCCAGCATACAACACACAGGGGCGGACAAAGGACGTCTGCAGTGACCCAACTAAGAGAGACCCAGCATACAACACACAGGGGCGGACAAAGGACGTCTGCAGTGACGCAATCCAGAGTTTTAGAAAAACGCAGTAGACAGAGGAGTCAGATCATTAAAAAGCCCTGAAATACAGAGATGAAGAATGTGTCCACAGGATTTCTACGCTCAGAGCAGTGGCGTGAAACAAGGGCACCTGACATTCTATTCAAACATGTTTATCTGTGTCTGTGTCGCCCTCTGAGATACGTATTTATTGCAGAGATATTTCTAAGCATTCTTCCCAGGTGACACACCCAGAGATGAAAAGTCTAGTACAGGACTGGCTATTTCCCTGGGCAAACTGTTGTTTTCTGATGCCGTGTCATGCAGAGATGTCACATGCCATCCCCGAGGGTCACTCAGGGAAACCCTCTCCATGCGCCACAGAGGGACCTGTTATGTTTACCTTCTGAGTATGATTCTGACCAGTGGTAACTTAAAAAAATTAACCACTATTTCTAAGCAGCTCTCAAGAGACACCCCCATCAGGCATGTATGCAAGTCAAGGCATTTATGTTACGGGCTGAATCGTTTCCTCTCAAAATTCATATAATAAATTTCTAACTCTCACACCTCAGAATGTGACTATTCTTGGAAATAAACATAATAAAGAGGTAAATAAGGCTAAGTCAGGTCATTGGGGTGGTCCTGCTCCAACAGGACTTTTTATGAGAATAGGATTCGAATATGCATAAGAGAAAGACCATGTGAAGGCACAGGAAGAAAAGAGCCACCTGCAAGCCACTGAGAGAAGCCTCAGAAGACGCCCACAGGGACACTTTGATCTCAGAGTTCCAGCCTCCAGAACCGTCAGGAAGTGAAAATCTGCTGTTGAAGCCACTCAGTCACTGGTACTTTGTTATGTTAGTCCAGGAGGACTGGGACCACCCCTACTGAAACGAATCCCTCCTCTGGCTTTGTCTTCTCAGCATACCTTCTCATGCTCACACCCTAAGTGCATTCTTCTGGGAAATCTAACGTGACTGGTAGAAGCTGGCCTGGCCAGTAACCAGCCAGACACTGCTCTCTGAAGGCCCTCTTGTCTTCTTCCCCACTCTCAGCTGTTTTTTGGTGCATTATGAAATTTGCAATCCACAAAAATTAGTGGTCTAAAATAAGTTAGGAAAATAGGAAGATATACATTCATTCATTTATCTTGTCTTGGTAGGAGACACACTTCTAAGATTGCTGTGAATGGCAAGACACATAAAAAGCAATACAAGGGGGATGGTGTACTTAATTGTGCTATTTTACAGTAGGTAAGTGGCTTTCGGATACAGAGAAAGACATATATTCCTTTTGAAAATGTAGATAACCCAAAATGTTGAAGCAAGTTTCTCTCTCAGGTCAGGCGTGCATGAACACCACCTGGCACCTGTAAACAATGCAGACTCCGTGGTCGCAGGCCCAGAGAAGGCGATCCCATGTTTATAAACCTGCCTTACATCACGGAGAATGTGGGGAGCAACTCGGACTAGACTAAGTTACTGCAATTAAGACTTATTCTATGCATCTGCTCTCCCACAATATGGCGCTGGGAGAGGAGTAAAAACAACTTTTACACAGCTGCCTCCAGTTCAACCAGTAACCTGCAGGAGCTGATCCCGCTCCTGATTGGAGGAGAGCAGCGTACTCGGCGTGTGGGTAGCAGAGTTGGGATTGGCGGAAGAGGACTATAAAGGAGGAGAGAGACAGCATGCACCAGGAACATCTAAGAGGAACACCTGAGCAGCCCCCGAGCAGCCCCCGAGCAGCCCCCGAGAAGCCCCCGAGAGAGCCGGCCGGCGGTGTGCCACTCCCCCGCGGAAGTGGGGAAAGTGGCAGGGGGAACCGCCTTTCCACAGAGGTGGAAGGGACGGTAGCCAACCCGGGAAGAACCAGCAGCAAACCCAGGGAGGGCCGAGCAGACGAAAGAACAGCGCAGGGTCCTGTGTCGTTCCTCCACGAAGACGGGGAGTGACAGGAGAAAGAACGTCCCCCAGTGCTGGGAGAGCTCCGCTCACCTGGTAAATGGCCATGGCGCAGTGCTCCTGCAGCTGCTCATTCTCACTGCTTAGGTTCTTTACCAGACTTTCGATGATCCTTTCTGCTTTGATTGCAGCTCGGTAGTTTTCCTAGACACGTACATTCAACTATTTATATGTGCATAGTGGATGGATACGAGACAGACAGACTTTTACAGTGACTGATAGTCTGAATGCAATTTCTCAATAAATCAACACTAAAGTGCAAGCTAAACACACTGTATGACAATAAGAGAATTAGCCAGCATTCAAAAAACGATATCCTCAGGTACTGATTTACTGTACTATCAGTTTGATCTTCTCTAACAGAATGATGACTTCTTGATAAAAAATACTTAGCATGCATGGTAATGTTATAAATTATTTTTTGGCTAAAGAAAATGAAGGAAGGAAATGCAGGGAGGCAAAACTGTTTCAGGCACCTCTGATGCACATTCTTGCAGTGTGCCCACCACGGGAATGAGCGTGTTTTCGTGAGAAGTCTTCAGCAGCTGAGCCAACAGAGGGATGCCCCCGGCTTTACGGATGGCTTCTTTATTGGCATAACTCTTACTGCAGCTCCACAGTGCCAGCGCCCCGCAGCGAGCCACTTCCACGTCTGTGGTCTCGTACAGGCTGGAGTAGGCAGGCTGTGAGGCGTGCTGTGTGTAGTCCAGGAGAGCCACCTACAGGAATACACAAATGCAACACACACTCACGTTAATGAATGTGCTGAGGTATCCTCCTGTAGCTATCAGGTTCTTATCAGCCTTGCCTCTGTCAAAAATGAGAATGCTCTAAAAAATTCAACTTTTACACTACCCAGTGGCCAATGAAACCAAAGAGACAAAGAAAACTCTTGAAGACACTATCCTCTGGATTTGGGAGCTTTTTTATTTCCTTCCCTCAAGAAATTTAATCTCACCACGATAGTAATCATATTTTCTTGGTATGGCTCTAATACTAGTAATATTTGCAAAACACAACCTTAGCCCCAGAAAACTAGGGCTCTTAACACCATTGGAATTTTCTAATGATAACTAAAAGGCCTATCCAGCCTTATATTTTAAAACAGTGATTTATTTTTATTTGCTTGAAAGGCAGAGATAGAGATATAGAAATATTGTAGCCGGCGCTACGGCTCACTAGGCTAATCCTTCGCCTGCGGCGCCGGCACACCGGGTTCTAGTCCCAGTCGGGGCGCCGGATTCTGTCCCGGTTGCCCCTCTTCCAGGCCAGCTCTCTGCTGTGGCCAGGGAGTGCAGTGGAGGATGGCCCAAGTGCTTGGGCCCTGCACCCGCATGGGAGACCAGGATAAGCACCTGGCTCCTGCCATCGGATCAGCGTGGTGCGCCGGCCGTGGCAGCCATTGGAGGGTGAACCAATGGCAAAGGAAGACCTCTCTGTCTCTCTCTCTCACTGTCCACTCTGCCTGTCAAAAAAAAAATGGGATCATAAATATCAACAGTTTTTGATCTCTTTTGTTTTTTATATTTATTTGGTTGAAAGGCAGAGAGAGATTGATCTTCCATCTGCACGCTCACAGGTCAGATGGCCACAATAGCCAGTGCTGGGCAAAGCTGAAGCCAGGAGTCGAGAACTATATCTGGGTTTTCCGTGTGGATGGCAGGATCCTAAGAACTTGGGCTATCTTCTGTTGCCTTCCCAGGCATAACAGCAGAGAGTTGGATTGGAAGCTGAACTTGAACTAGTGTTGGGACTTAAACTAGTGTTCTCATATGGGATGCTGGGGTTGAAGGTGGTGGCTTAACCTGCTGCGCCACAACAACGACCCCTCTTGTTTTAAATATTATATTTAAATATTATACATTTTATTACTTGACATTAACTACAAAGGATCTGCCAAAAGTTCATGGTGAATGTCTAGTATCTTTCAATTATGAAGTTTTTAAAGTACTCTCATGTTCTTCCAAAACACAACAGTGACAATGGATTTGAGATGTTTCTTGAGGACATACTGTGAGCTATTTTATTGATCAAATTGGGCTATTTTCAGTTCCCAGTCTCCTAGCTCACAAGGAAAAGACTAAGTGCCTGCATGTCAGAATGCCCTCTTAGGGAGTCTTCACAGTGAGGTCACCGCATCTGAGGCCATGGGCTTACCAGACAGCCTCCCGTGGCACAGGTCTCACCCAACTCTTCCCATCACAGTCCATGCACACCAATGCTATTATTGACAGATATTCTTTTAAATTGTCTATGGTTTTTGAGAACTGAGATTGAACATGTTTGGTGGCCACACGAATAATCCTTATAGACATGTGATTAAAAGGAAAACTCCCAGAACACACTCCCGGGAAGGACAGGAGGGAGCCGCAGACATGTCTGTGCTACTCACCAGCCTGGTGATGCCCCCGTGCTGTCTCACTGCCTGCCGGGCTCGTCTGAACTTGGCAACATTCGCAATAGTTTCTGCAGCCAAACACTTCAGAATCTTGTACGGAGAATCAAGTATATTAACTATGACAGGTAAGCCCCTGAGGTCAACAATGTTACGTCTGATTTGAGGATTGTGACTGATTTCCTTCAGGATTTTTAATGACCCAATCTGCGTGAGTGAAAATGTTATAAGTGAGTGCTTAGTACCCATCACCAGTACTGTGTTTTTAAAATTGCAAATCTACCTAAATTCCTGCCCTGATTTTTTTTAAAGTATGAGGAACTCATAGAAAACAGCAAGAGAAAGAAAGGGGAGACAAGAAAGAATGCAGCTAATAAAAGAAGCAGGTTGATTAGCAGCAACAGTAGCAGAAAATGGCAAGACCCAGGCAGCCAGGAATGCAGACACCTGGAGCAGAGAGCCTCTGCAAGGTGGGGACAAGACTATATCCACCGCCACAATGCCACTCACCTTACACTTGATTTCATTGGTGTCAAGTAAATTTATTAAAACTTCAAGGCCTCCCACATCTCTGATTGCCAGCTGACAGGTCTCATGGACTAGGTTGAAATCCTTCATCAAACACAACACAATCACTGTAGCTGTCTGATTTCCTCCCTACAAAGATGCAATGCCATTGCAAGGTTACGTAAAATCACACCATCCACAGAAATGTACTAAGCGCTTATGAATCCATGAACTAGGAAATGTATCTCCCCATTCATAGCATGTTAACTTAATTTTAAGTTTTCTGGGTGTGCTCTACTTCTTTCAATGAACTATACAGAGGTGAAGCATGGAAAAGTTGGACAAATCATAAAAGATTGTTCCAATTAAAAGTCAACAATTAAAGGTGGTCTTTCTCCTTTAAGCAGCTAAATATTAGGCAGCATTATTACATTAAATAAAGTCAAGGGGCAAACGAGTGTGCAAAGGGAAGTTTTATGTGGAAGCAATCAGTAGCCCCTCTGGTTCTTAAACACTGGGTGGGGTAATGCAAACCATGTCTGAAGTATTACTCTTACACACTGTGATACTAGGAAGTCTATGGCTGGTCTCTGACCAGCTGGTTTCCTGGCATTCAACTCCTGAAATCCTTGGAATCTTCTGAGTGATAATGTCATTTTGCATGCTAGTCCTTTGGCTGCCAAGCCACCCACCTGTAGGTACCTTCAGGCTGCGGGTGGTTGCAAAAAAGACCCAGGCAGAATTCTAGCTTAGGATTTTATTTATTTATTTATTTATTTATTTATTTATTTATTTATTTATTTATTTTACAGGCAGAGTGGACAGTGAGATAGAGAGAGAGAGACAGAGAGAAAGGTCTTCCTTTACCGTTGGTTCACCCTCCAATAGCCGCTGCGGCCAGCGTGCTATGGCTGGCGCGCCGTGCTGATCCAAAGCCAGGAGCCAGGTGCTTCTCCTGTTCTCCCATGTGGGTGCAGGGCCCAAGGACTTGGGCCATCCTCCACTGCACTCCCTGGCCACAGCAGAGAGCTGACCTGGAAGAGGGGCAACCGGGACAGAATCCGGCACCCTGACCGGGACTAGAACCCGGTGTGCCAGTGCCGCAGGTGGAGGATTAGCCTAGTGAACCGCGGCGCCGGCCCTAGCTTAGGATTTTTTTCAGTCCCTTCTCTGACCTACATATAGGTGAGAAGGGATGAACGTTGAGTTGATCACCACTGATCACCGATAGCCAATTATTTAATCATGCCTGTGTCATGAGACCTCCACAAAATCCCAAAAGGACAGGGTTCAGAGAGCTTCCAGAGTGCTGAACACGTGGGGGATTCTGAAAAATGTGCTTGTGGTCAAATAACCTTTATTTTACTTAATAATGGTCCCAGGCCTCAAGAGTAATGATGATGACAATTCACATTCTCCAAGGAGGAGCTGCAAGGTGCTTCCTGTAAATGAAAGGGGTAGTTATCGACAGTAGAGACCGTGGTGGCTCTTGTGTGTGTGATCCAGGGGTTTTACCAAAATCCGATTTCCTCACTTGCTTTGAGTCTGACAGGGAGGATTCACAAGGGGCTGGGTACCCACGCAGGACTGTGAGGTGAGCCAAGCCTCTCAACAATCACAGGCTCTGGGGCTCCAACCCCAAGGTGGAGCACCCAAGGCAGCTGGTTCCGGAACGTCTCTGCCCTCTCCATGCGTGGGGCATGCTTGCAGAGCGGAGTGGATCTGCACCCACAGGCAGCTGGTTCCGGAACGTCTCTGCTCTCTCCGTGGGCGGGGCACGCTTGCAGAGCTGAGTGGGTCTGCACCCACAGGCAGCTGGTTCCGGAACGTCTCTGCTCTCTCCGTGGGCGGGGCACGCTTGCAGAGCTGAGTGGGTCTGCTGCGCCCCATGACTGTGGAGGCCTTGTGTGCTGTGCCTGTGGGAATTCTGTGGCTGTGTAATAGGGTGTGGGGTGTAGCTGGGTCTCTGGGCAATCACTGTGACTGGTGTCAGAGGCTCAGAGCTCCCTGACTGCCTGGGGTGGGTCACTGCATCCTGGGGATGAATCTCACTTCATCGTAGTGAATGATCTTTTTAATGTCATTTGATTTGATTTGATTTGATTTGCTATTATACTGCTGAGGGTTTTCAGATCTACATTCATCAGATATTGGCCTGTGGCTTTCTTTTTTGTTGTGCTCTTGTCTGGTTTTGGTATCAAGCAGTTGATGAAAGTCCATTTCTTCTACATTACCAGATTTGTTGCCTTATAATTACACATAGTAATATCTAACAATTGTTTGTATTTCTATAGTGTCAATTATAATATCTACATTTTCATTTCTGACTTTCTGATTTGAATCTTCTCCCATTTTTGTCTTCTCCCAGTTTGTCTAGCTGAGATTTTATCAATTTTGTTTATTTTTTTCAAAAAATCACACCTTGCTTGCATTGATTTTCTTTAGTCTTTTATTTGTGCTCTAATATTATTTCTTTCCTTCTACTAATTTTGGATTTTTTTCTTTTTCTACTACTTTGAGATTCAGTGAGATTTTCTGTTTTTTTTTTTTTTTTTTTTTTTTTTTTTTTTTATGCAAGCATTGATTGCTATGAACTTCTCCCTCAGTACTGCTTTTGTAATTCCTAGGTTTTGCTATGTTCTGCTTCCAGTTTTATTCGTTTCATGAAATGTATTAATTCCCTCCATAATTTCCTTCTTTATCCATTGGTTGTTCAGAGGGTTCTAAGCCTACAGAGGACTGCACAGATCTTTTGTGCAGTTCGTGTGCCAGCATGTGCAGGAGAAGCACGAGCACTGCTCAACTTGAAGAGAGGAGGTGATGTTGTGATTACACAAGCAGGCATACAATGTCCTCAAATTTGTACATATGAAATGCATGACGTTTGTATACCTTAAGTGAAATTTTAAAAAATTAAAAGTTGAAATACTGTCACTTGCAAAACATACATGTTAACTAGAAGTCCTGATATTAGATTAAATAAAGCAAGCACAAAAGAACGAGTATCATGTGATCTTATTCATAGAAGGCACCTATAAAATTGTGATGTCAGAATTTAAAACAACAAGAGGCTGTGGAGGGAAGAGGTGGAGATGTGAGAAAGTGTTGATTAATGGGCACTAAGTTACTGTTAGACAGGAGTGAGAAGTTTTGCTGTTGGGGCCAGTGTTGTGGCACAGTGTGTTAAGCTGCTGGCTGCAGTGCTGGCATCCCGTATCAGCACTGGTTCATGTCCTAGCTGCTCCACTTTTGACTCAGCTCCCTAATAACGTGCCTTGGAAATCAGGAGGAGATGCCTCAAATGCTCGGGCCCCTGCCACCCACGTGGAAGACACGGATGAAGCTCCTGCCTCCTGGCCCGTCTCTGGCCATTGTAGCCATCTGGGGAGTGAACCTGCAGATGGAAAATCTTCCTTTCTCTTTCCTTCTCACTGGAACTCTGCCTTCCAAATAAATAAATCGTATTTGTTTTTTAAAAAATTTAGGTTTTGGCAAGCTGTTTTTCTTGCCCTTTCTTCCATTCAAGCACACTATATGGGGGCTGGTGCCGTGGCACAGCGGGTTGAAGCCCTGGCCTGAAGCGCTGGTATCCCATATGGGCTCTGGTTCTAGTCCTGCCTGTTCCTCTTCCGATACAGCTCTCTGCTGTGGCCTGGGAAAGCAGTAGAAGATGGCCCAAGTCCTTGGGCCCCTGCACCTGCGTGGGAGACCCGGAAGAAGCTCCTGGCTCCTGGCTTTGGATAGGCACAGCTCCAGCCGTTGCGGCCATATGGGGAGTGAACCAGTGGATGGAAGACCTCTCTCTTTTTCTCTACCTCTCTCTGTAACTTTGTCTATCAAATAAATAAAATAAAATCTTTTAAAAAAAGTACATTATATGGGCCAGTTATCACAGAGAATATTTTAATACATGTTATCTGACTTGAGAGTTATGGACTTGGACCAATACACATCTGAAGCACCTACAATTTATTAAACACCATGCTACATATTTCAGATGTTTTCTTTAAAGATTTATTTTATTTATTTAAAAGACAGGGTTATATACAGAGAGGGAGAGAGAGAGAGAGAGAGAGAGAGAAAGAGAGCGAGCAATCTTCCATCTGCTGGTTCACTCCACAAATGGCTGAAGCAGCCAGGGTAGGTCAGACCAAAGCCAGGAGCCAGGAGTGTCCTTGGGGTCTCCCACATGGGTGCAGGGACTTGGATCATCCTCTGCTGCTTTTCCAGGCAGACTGGCAGGGATCTGGATCAGAAGTGAAGTCGGGACTCAATCAACCCCCATAAGGGATGCCCGCCTCCCAGGTGGTAGCCTTACCCACTATGCAGCAACGTGGGCTCCTCAAATGTGTTTTTTTCAATCTTCAAAGTGATCCTATAGTACTGCTATCATTAATTTCATTCAATGGGTGGAGAAAGGCTCAAAACCACACAAGCAAACTTTCAACTGCTAGGCTGCTAGCAAGTTATGCAGCTTAGAACTGAAAGAACACTTCAAAAATTCATGCTCATTCTATCACACCACATTGCCAATCATAAGATAGCATTAAAACAAGATATTTGCTGATGGCCCTGCCCACTCCCCACTTCCCAGCCAGCAGACAGGGCTGCTACCAGGCAGCCTGGACTCGTCATGAAGACTCCTCTTGAAACTTCAGGGTAGTAAGACTTTCCCTTGTCACTTAGGTAATACCAGGGATGCGACTACTCCCATTCAAAAGAAACATTCAATAAACATGGAAGCAGAATAGACAATTTTGGGAGAGGATTTAAAACAAACCTTGCAAACATAGCACACAAGGTTTTTCTTACCTTCAGATATTTCACCAGCTTCTGAATTTGCCAGTACTCGGATGGCAGATCCACGTTCACCTCCTGACGGTGGTCAGCAGGCTCTTCATCCTCCTCACTCTCCGAGGAGTTCTCACTGGAAATCTCCTCAATTTTATCAGCACTTTTACTAAGAATAACAACAGCAATAAAACATACCAGTGAGCCACAACCTGGACACGGCTACAAGGCTAATACTATGGCAACACATACATAAGCAACAGATCTGAAGTTCTCTATCATGATTTACATGAGGAAATAGATAAACCCATGGTCCATAGCAAGTGTAGCTCAGTATTATTGCTCCAAATATAAGAATAAGTAATAAAGGAAACAGTGAGACGTAAACAAGAGTATTAAGTAAATGTCCTAAGGATGCACTGTATAAATAAAACAGTAACTAATTTCAGGTAGTTATATCGATATTCATTTAAATTTATCTCCGTAGTGAAAACTGAATAAAGTGAAAAATTCAGTTCTGCAATCACACTATCCACAGAAATTCATTCATTAATATCAAATTAAATAAGAAAAAAGAAAATTACCAAGACAGAGAGGACATTACACATGATAAAAGGGAGAAATAGTAATGCTAAATATTCACATACCAAATAAGAGAGCTACAAAATACACAAAACAAAAACAGAACTAAAAGGAGAACCAGAAAAATTTGCAATTATAGTTAAAGTCATCAACAATTGATAGAACAATTAGGGAGAAAATAAGCAAAGATATAGAAGAAATCAACAATAGCATTCAACAATGTAATTCAGCCTACATGTACAAAGCACTCCATCCAAAAACAGCAGAAAACACATTCTTTACAAGAATCTACAGAATACATACAAAGACATCCTCAGCCATACAGAATGTCAACCACTTTAAAAGAATTTAAAATTTACATGTTCACCAATCACAACAGAATCAAACTAAAAATTAAGAACAGAAACATAACAAGAAAAATCTACAAACACCAGAATAATCCAAGGGTCTAAAAGAAATTTTAAAAATCTCAAATTGAAGTGAAAAAAAAATATATAAAACACTAAATATTTCCATTAGAAAAGTCTCAATTCAATAATCTAAAAAAAACTAGAAACTAAAGAAATTCGAAAAAGAAAAGCAAATTAAACACAAAGCAAAACAAAGACAGGAAATAAAGATAAAAGCAGATGCCAACAAAATTGTTCAAAAATTAATAAAAACAAAAGGTTGCTTCTTGAAAGGACTGATAAAATTGACAAACCTCTAGCAAGATTGTAAACTTAGATAAAATGGACCACTTCTTTTAAAAACATGAACTACCACAATTTCCCCAATCCGCAACAATTTTGAGTAGATCTGTAAGAATTAAGTTTAATTCTTCAGTTGTAGATGGTTTTCACTGCAGAATTAAGCTCAGAAAGATTTGTTCTTATCATTAACCATTAGTTCAACATCACTAGCCAACATGAAAAGATATCACTAGCTAAATATAAGACCAAAGTTAGGTAGCTTCATACATCTTTTAGAATTGCTAGAATAAAACATAATGGCAGTAACAAATGCTGATGAAGATGAGCAGAACTGAATCTCTCATCCATCACTGGTATAAATGTAAAAGGGGGCAGCGCCTCTGGAAACTTTTGACAGTTTCTTAGAAAGCTTAACGATCACTATGCATCGATACAGCAGAGCCAATATACAAAAACCTGCAAGCAATTATTCATATTGGCTTTACTGTAACAGCCAAAAGGTTCAAACTACTAATATGTCCCTCTGAAAATGAACGATTAAACAATCTATACCCTGCTATGCTTCTTAGCACTAAAAAGAAAAATACTATTGACATAGGCAAAATTTAGATGGTTCCTAGGGGTACTATGGAGATTTAAAAAAGCATAAAAATATCTGATTTTATTTATATAAAATTTTCAAAATGGCACAACTGTAGGAATGGAAAGCAGATCGATGGTTGCCACCAATTAGAGATGGAGGGGGAAGAGGAGTAGGTGCAAAGTATGCCGTGAGTGAGCCCGGGGTGGTGATGGAATGCTTCTGTGTCCTGATTGCCAGGGTCATCACACAAATCTGCACGCCATCAGTGATACACATTATACTCTACACAACCCTTTTCCCCAAGCATACAACTTTTATATTTGAAATTTCTGCCATTTATTTTTACCACTACGCTGAAGTTTCTAATGAAAGTGGCAGACCCTTCTCCAAACACGTCACTTCTGCTGTGCAGCTGAGAATCAGGTAAGAGGTGTGCTAGCTGGCCGACTAGCAAGCACTGCGCTTTAATTAGGACTAACACACATCACTTGGGAGTGGGCAGAGTCGTCAGTCATGAGCAAAAGCAAGGCCCAGACAGGTGAGAGAACTCTGCAGGGAAGCAAATGTTGGAAAGCTGAGAGATCAGCTGGGAACTCAGTACTCCTAACACTTAATTCACTGCTCTTAGCATTAAATGCATTTATTTCCTTAGAGCCAACTAATACCAGTAAATTCCAATACTTCAACTAACTCTAATGCATTCAAAGGCTATCTTGTAAATATATTTTAAATAGGTCCAATATTATCAGGTGTACTAACATCCCTACTAACCTTGACTATAAGTATCTTAGGACCTTACTATAATAGTAAGAATGCCAGTAATTAGCGTGCTACTTATCCCAGTGCGTGGCTTTAAGGAGCTGGGTACACCAGCAGAAACACACCTGCTTAACTGGGCTCTTCCATGGGAAGCGGATGACCTCACCTTTTCAAATTTTCCGCCATGTTTTTCCTGTTGGCTGTCTTTTACTGAACTTCTGTGACTACAAATAAAATATCTGTATTAGCTTCATTGCTTTATGCTAATGAAAAGGAAATACAAGATGGAAATGTACACAAATACTCTATAATTTTCATGCATCCAAATGATGCATTTTCCTGACACAGGAGGACAAGTTCCAGCTTCACCTGCCATTCGGAGATGTCCCTTTTGCTCTTCAAGCATGGCCATGAATTTTATCAATTCTGGTCTAGTGCGTGTTTGTACTAGAAACTGGCCTTCACAGGCTGGCCCTGCTGTGGGAGTCCTTCATCACAGGCCTTCTATTCTAAAGGTACTTAGCTTACCGGATGATAGCGATCTTCTTATCTCCCACAGCCAACATTGGGACAGGACTCACATTGAGTTTTCCAGGCATTCCCAGGTTTAGGCAGCCCTGAGCACATACTGGGCTCTCATTCAATACTTGTTGATGAAATGCATCATTTAAAGAATACGTACACAGACAAAGCAGAATTTTAAAACGCAAGTCCCAGTTAACAGTCACAATGCATTTTTCATTGGCACACTGACTCTTTCAAATAGAGTCAAAAAGGTGAAACCCAGACACCCTCCCTCCCCTAGCCAGAATAAATGAGAACCAGGGAAGCACGAGCATCTCCCTTTCCCACAACTCTGTGGGTTTACCTTCACCGGGCTGGTGCTGTGGCACAGCAGGCTAAGCCGGTGCTTGAAACGCCAGCATTCAACACAGGATGGCCAGTTCCAGCCCCAGCTGCTCTGCTGTCCAACCTGCTCCTGGCTGATTCCCCTTGGAGAGCAACAGAACTACCGGGCCCTTGCCATGCATGTGGAAGACCTGGATGAAGAGCCTGGCCCCTGGCTTTGGCCTGGCTCAGCCCTGGCCACTCTGGCCATTCGGAGAGTGAACCAGTGGGTGGAAAAGCTCTCTATCTCTGTTTCTCTCTGCCACTTTGCCTTTCAAATAAAGAAAATAAATCTTTAAAGAAAACAAAACAACCACAATCACCCTGTGGTTTCCAGAACCCCTGTAGGTGACAGTCCCTGTGTGACCTATCAGGAGCCAGTTCTTAATCCAATCATGTAACAAAGCAACGTTAAAGAGGTTAAAACTGCTGAGATATTTGCTAAATGTAATTAAGTGTTTTACCTCCATATTTAGGTGGCACTGGACTTACGTTTTATTTGCCACCGATTTATAGAGGATCCCAAATAGAACTAGTTTTGCACATATCATAGATGCACCAAACCAATGTTCCCTTTAAATAAGACCATTAATATTTTTGAGACTCAGCCTTTTTAATACTGTGAATGTACTTCAAAAGTTTCATGCAAAAAATCCTATGCCAAAGTTTTGAAATCTACGTTTAAGAGAGATCTCAAAAGCATTCCTAGAAAATTATGTATGGATTTCAAATATTGCTTATACATACAAAAAACTTATCTTTTAATCCCATTTCCCCACAAGAGTTTGAAGTTTCAGAAAGCCCATCACAGCTGTCTACATACGATTTGAAATCAAGGGTTGTCTTCCAGTTTAAGCTTGGCTCTAATCTCCTGGTCATTTGATTTTTCACAAAATTAATTTGGTTCTTCTCCAGTGTACTCTTTCCTGAACCAGATGCAGTTTTATGGAAGGTGGCTGTTTCTTCCTTCTTAAGAGCCTTATCATGCTGATCTTTTTCCATTTGTTGTTGTTCTTTAAATTTGGTTGCCTTCACAAAGAAAAAGTTACGAAAATTTTTTACAATGGTACCACTTCTGAATTATCCATTGCTACCTAAAGATTAACACTGGTGATAAACTCAGGAAACAAAGTCTCAGACACATCTAACTTCTATTGTTTATGACAAAGATGCACAAGGTCACCTTCAAGGTCAAGGACTCCGTTGGGGTTAAACAGACAATAGGAGAAGCTTTTCAGTGTTTCTCAATTCATACCTCTGTGGCAGCATGCACAGATACAATAGCAGGGTTTAGCCTATTAATCCCTCACCACCCCTAGAAAAAATTAAACTCAAACCTTAAATTAACTGAGACATATCATATTCAAGTTACTTAAACCAAAGATAAAGGTAACATTTAAAAAAAAAAAAAAAAGATTTACTTGAAAGACAGAGTCATGGGACATAAGCAGGGAGCTGGATCCAAGGAAGAGCAGCTGGGACTGGAACCGGTGCCCATATGGGATGCTGGCACTGTAGGCCAGGACTTTAACCCACCGGGCCATAACAACAGCCCTAAAGGTAACATATTACATAAAGCGGAAGAAACATTAAGAATTTCAAGAGTCTTCATGTGAAAGCATGCTGGAAAATAAAGAAAATAATCTTTTTTAAAAAGATTTATTTATTTATTTGAAAGGCAGAGTTAGAGAGAGAGAGAGAGAGAGAGAGAGAGAGATCTTCCATTTCCTAGTTCACTCCTCAAATAGCTGCAATGGCCAGAGTTGTGCCGATCTGAAGCCAGGAGCCAGAAGTGGAGTAGCCAGGTCAAACAGGTGCCCATGTGGGATGCTGGCACTGCAAGTGCCGGCTTTACCCGCTACACTACAGTGCCGGCTGCAGAAAATAATATCTTTAAAGTAGTGGAGGGCTGGCTTTGTGGTGTAGCAGTGTAAAGCTGCCGCCTGCAGTGCCAGCATCCCATATACCCAGTTTGAGTCCCGGCTGGGCAGCTCCACTTCTGATCCAGCTCTCTGCTATGGCCTGGGAAAGCAGTAGAAGATGGTCCAACTCCTTGGGCCCCTGCACCCATAAGGGAGACCTGGAAGAAGCTCCTGACTCCTGGCTTCATATTGGCTCAGCCTCAGCCATTGTGGCCATCTGGGGAGTGAAGCAGCAGATGGAAGACCCTCTCTTTCTCTCTGCCTCTCTGTAGCTCTGCCTTTCAAATAAATAAATATTTAAAAAAGAACAGTGAGTGGAATAATGTGTCAAAAATTTATACTTTGTTAAGTAAAAAAATCTTTGAAAAATGAAGGCAAGATAAAGAAATGAATATACATATGAATAAAATTAATGAATGTAGATGTGAATAATAAATGAGGATGGCTATGAATAAAATGGAACCATTACTTAGAAGCTCATTTAATTCAAAAGGGGGCAAAAATGTGTACAACGAATAGAATTAGGAAGACAGTACATTTAAATCAAACTATATTAGTAGTTATATCAAATGAAAATTGTTGAAAAACTTCAATTAGGGGACGGCCCTGTGGTTGTAGCGGGTACAGCTGCTGCCTGCAGTGCCAGCACCCCATATGGGTGCCAGTTCAAGTCCCGGCTGCTCCACTTCCCATCCAGCTCTCTGCTGTGGTCTGGGAAAGCAGTAGAAGATGGCCCAGATGCTTGGGCCCCTGCTCCCGTGTGGGAGACCCAGAAGAAGCTCCTGGCTCCTGGCTTCGGATCAACACAGCTCTGGCCATTGCGGCCAGTTGGGGAGTGAACCAGTGGATGGAAGACCTCTCTCTCTCTCTCTCTCTCTCTGTCTCTCTCTGTCTCTCCTTCTGTGTAACACTGACTTTCAAATAAAATAATAAATAAATCTCTAAAAAAACATACAATTAGATTAAAAAAGGAAAACTCTGTTACTTTTGGTCAAAATAAATCACTTTATATATAAAGACAAAGCACATTAAAAATAAAGGCTAGAGAAAAATTGCTCATGTAAATAATAAAAAGCAGGAGTAGCTATATTAAAGTCAGATGAAATAAGATTCCCAAACAGGTAATATTATCAGAGATAAAGACAGATGCACATAAGGATGAAGAATTAACCGGTGTAAGTTCTAAATGAGTACTGACCAAACAACAGAACTTCAAAGAACATGAAGCAAACACAGGAAAACAAGAAAAAATAGGTAAATGCACAACTATCAGACTTCAAAACTCTTCTCAGTCATCAATAAAATGAGCAAGTAAAACAATAACAACAACAAGAAGAAGGATATGGGCGACTCGAGCACCACCATCAACCAACTCGACATAATCAACGCTTGCAGGATATGCCCCCCAACAGAGCAGAACACACAGACTTCCCAAATGCATAAGGAAAAATTCGCCAAAAGACACCATATGCTGGGCCATAAAATTAATCTCAACAAATTTAAGAGAAGAAAAATCATAAAAAACATCTTTTCATAATACATTGCAATGGAATTAGAAATCACTAAAATAAAGATGTCTGAAGAAATCCTCAAATATATTGATTTGGATAAAAATACCACATATCAAAATCTATGGGACATTGTTTATGATGTGTTTATACAGAAATGTAAAACTTAGTACAAAAAATAAAGGTTTTAAATCATTGATCTAAGCTTCCAACTTAAAAAATTTTTAAAAAGTGTAAATTAAACCTAAAGAAAGCAAAACTAGGAAAATTATTAAGAGCAGAAATAAACCTGAAAGCAGACAAATTATAGAGAAAATCAATGAAATAATTATCTGGTTCTTTGAAAAGATCAATAAAATTGACACATTTCTATTCACAATGATCAAGAAAAAAACAGACCAATATTAGGAATGAAAGAGGAGACACCACAACAGATCATCTAGACATTAAAGGATAATAATGGAATATTGTACTTGTGATGCACATAAATTAGATAAGCTACACAATATGTACAAATTAATTGGAAAACACAAACATTCAAATCTCAAGAAAATAAATCTGAATAGTTCCATATCTATGAAAGAAACTAAATTACCACTTTATAAACCTCCTAACAAAGAAAGTTCCAGGTACAGATGAGTTCTCTGGTAAATTCTAGCAAATAGTTAAGACAGGAGTAACAGTCATTCTACCAAAGATTTCTAGAAAGAAGAAAGTAATGAGTATTTCTCAGCTCATTTTATGAGGCCACATTACCCAGATAATAAAATGATTCAAACATTAAAACATGACTATTAACTCATATCCTTCATGAATACAGACATAAAAAATGTTCAGAAAAATGTTATCAAATTATACCCAGCGATATATAAACAGGGTAAGACATCTAAGAAGGATTTACCCCAGAACTCAACAGGAGATCAATACCTGAAAATCTATTTCATCATCAAATCATCAGAATATAAAGAAGAAAAAGCATACCATCATCTCAAGACAAGCAATACAAGTGTGATTGCCTGATAGGGTCACTTTCGGTGGTTTAAGTGCAGGCTTCATTGGAAATATACAACAAAGTCCTCTCCCCTCCCAGTGAGGGTGGGTCAGCAGCACCTACTGGGGAGACCTCTGCCCAGTGGTAACGAATCCTCTCCCAACAGGGTTGTGGATCAGTTGTAAGCAGAGACCCTGAACTTTGACCCTCACCTTGAAGTATCCCCAGACCTATCCCAGTGAGGTGTCAGAGAAGGTCTGCTAAAGGAAAATATTTTAATAAAACCCGGAGTGTCATCAGAACCCAGAGATAACAGCTTGCATAAGAAAGGACAAGGAACAGATGCTTATAACAAAATAAAATAGGTGTTGTAATATTCTAACATTTTAGAGCAGTCATCATAAAATGCATCAATGAATAATTATTACTACATAATAATAAAATTCCATAAGGCTGACTGAGGAACATTCTTCTTCTTTTTTTTTTAATTTATTTCACAGGCAGAGTTACAGACAGTGAGAGAGAGAGAGACAGAGAAAGGTCCTCCCTCTGCTGGCTCACCCCCCAAATGGCCGCCACGGCCGGAGCTGCGCCAATCTGAAGCCAGGAGCCAGGTGCTTCCTCCTGGTCTCCCATGTGGGTGCAGGAGCCCAAACACCCAGGCCATCCTCCACTGCCTTCCCAGGCCACAGCAGAGAGCTGGACTGGAAGAGGAACAACCAGGACTAGAACTGGCATCCATATGCGATGCCGGCACCACAGGTGCAGGATTAACCAAGTGAGCCATGGTACTGGCCCCGGAAAATTCTTTTTTTAAAAAAGGTATATTTATTTATTGAAAATGCAGAGTGACAAAGAGGGGGAGAGGCAGAGAGAAAGAGATCTTCCCTCCACTGGTTCACTCCACAAATGGCCAGTCCCTAAATGGTTGGGACTGGGCCAAGCAAAAGCCCGGAGCCAGGAATTCCAACCGGGTCTCTCAAGTAGGTGACAGAAACCAAAGTATTTGGACCATTTTCCACTGCTTTCCAGGTGCATTAGCAGGGAGCTGGGTACACAGTGGAGCAGGCAGGATGCCAGCAATGCAGGCAACAACTGAAAGCCACTGTGCACAGAACAGGTTCCAGAAGGAACATTTCTGCAAGCAGTGAGAAACAGTTCTTTGTAAGGGAAAAACAAAATAACTGCAGATTTCTCATAGAAGCCAGAGGACTTGGGAAAACTTTTAAGTTTTGAAAGTAAACAATTATCAAATCAGAATACTATATCCTATGAAAATATTCTTCAGAAGTGAAGGGGAAATCAAAACATTGTCAGGTGAAGAAAAATGAAATAAATTTGTCTCCAAAAACTTACCTAAAAGGACGGCTAACAGAAGTTATAAAAAAGAAAGATTATGATAAATTAAAGATAAAAGCAACATCAAAAAGGAAGAAAAGAACAATGGAAAGAGTACAGTATAGGCAAATACGAAAGACTTTCTTTCTCGAGTTTTCTCAATATTTGATGGTGAAAGCAAAATTTATAACACTTAAATAGTTATCAATGTATATAGAGAGAACAAAGACAATTATAAATGAGACATTGTGAAACAGACTTAGAGAGAGA